TGGGACAAGATCTTCACCAACCCCACATCTAACAGGAGGCTGATCTCCAAAATATATAAAGAACTCAAGAAACTAGACATCAAAATACCAAATAATTCAATTTAAAAATGGGGTGCAGATCTAAACAGAGAATTCTCAACAGAAGGAATACAAATGGCTAAGAGACATTTGAAGAATTGCTCAAAATCCTTAGTCATCAAGGAAATGCAATTCAAAACGACTCTGAGATATCATCTTACACCTGTCAGAATGGTTAAGATAAAAAACACAAGGGACAGCTTATGCTGGAAAGGATATGTAGTAAGAACACTCCTTCACTGCTGGAAATCAGTATGGCAATTTCTCAGAAAATTGGAAATCAATCTACCTCAAGACCCAGCAATACCACTCTTGGGCACATACCCAAAGCATATGCATTCATACCACAAGGACATACTGGTAATTCTTAAAAGACCTACAGGATTTCCGGTGAGATTTTCGATTTCAGAAAGGGTTAATTACTCAACCGAATGTTTGTTTTCCCCTACTGTTGTATGAAACTGTCCCTGCAAAGCAGCGGGCTACCTGTGGAGCCATTCCCACCATCCCAGCCCATCCCTAGACCTGGAAAGGCTAACCCCATGACTGTTTTCTACCTATAGTATGTACATAGATAGCTGTTGAGAAAAGGAAGGTACTAGAGTGAGGCCTGGAGACTTGCCTAGCATATGCAAGATCCTAGATTCAATCCTCATTTCTTGGGGAGGGAGAGGCGTGGGAGAAGCTACTGGGTATTTCTCATATTCTCTTTTAATATGTGTTCCCTTCCTGCAGAAGAGCCTGATGTGAATTAAAATCCACTTGAAAATCACACTCTGGAGAAACCTCACAAGAGAAAAATGAAGTAACTGTGCTAAACTTCTAACATATTTGTTTCATTACTGGCTACCCAAACAAAGGAATTAACATCTTGAAGTGCAGTGGTACTGTGAGAAAATCCTATTATTAGTGAGCACAAAATTAGAAGAAATGGATGCTCCAGAAATAGCCACCAGATGGTAGCAAGAGGGAAGTGATATTGTCACAAATACATTTTCAGAAACTTGGAAAGTAAACCATGTCTCTAGGAAAAATAGTCCTCAGACAGAACCATTGTGACCCTGTGGGATACTTGGCAGTACCAGGAGCACTGTTTGTTTGGTTATAACTGCAGAAGAGATCTGATGGTTAACAGGGCTGAGAGATGTTGCTAGGAGTCCAACAACGCACAACATCACCTCTCACAGCTAGCTGGACTACTACTGAGGCAATATAGGTCTATCTAGGGGTTGGAACAATGGCTCGGTGGGCAAGCATGAAGACCCAAGTTCAGATCCCCAGCATGTAAAAACTCAAGTATGGTGGCCTAGGCCTATAGCCCCAGTTCTCAGACACAGAACAGAAGGATTCCAGGGCCTCACTGGCCAGTTGGTCTACAAGAAATGGCAAGTTTTAAGTTCAAGGAGAGACCCTGTCTCAAAAAATGTATGGTGATAGACGACATCCCATTGTTAACCTCTGGTTTCCACAATCACAGGCAAGAGGTGTGTACCCCACCACACACACACACACACACACACACACACACACACACACATGTTCTGCTCTAGAGGAAGTAACTGGCAAGAGGCAGAAAATTAATGTTTATTGTTCTTCCCCATGTTTGGCAAATGTTTGAAGAAAGGAAAAAAAAAGAAGATGAACTCAGCAAATAGCTACAAGTAGAAGTAAGAGGGCTAGAAAATGTTCCAGATATTTGGGGGCTTTTATAGGTCTCATAAATAATCCTCTAGAGACCAGCAGGAGGAAGGAAATCTGATTCAGTTAAGCAAAGCAATTCATCCCTTCAGCTAAGACTACACTAAGATTTTTTTTTCATTCTCCAAGTATTTTTTGCCTCCTGTACACTGACCAACTGTCCATGGAAACACTATGAGATAACATCAAGGACAACTCAATTGCTCAATTCACCTTTCTAGCAGAGTAACCTCCTGTCTCTCCTATCAGAATTAGTCTTCCAATTATACTCCTTCAACATGTAAGATTTTGTTCTTCATTGTTTCCTCTTTGCTGTAAATCTTCTGAATACAGATAGTCTCAATTACACACCACATATCCTGGAGCATACCTTACACAAAGGATACAATAGTTTCTTGACAATTATGTGTTCAAGACATAATATTCTATAAAGCACCAATCCATTATCAAGATCTTTAGTGTCCATAGCCCAGAGAGACAAAAGAAAATAGAACACTCCATGAAATTCTTAAGTCTCTGACCTACAAATAATTTTCACACTAAGAGTCAATGAGGAATAAGTGCCAGCTCTCACTTTTCTCCCAACTTGTAATTGCATGTGGCTGTGTGAGCCTAAGAACTGTGGAACACAACACTGCTTTTAACAAGGCTGACAGCAGTACATCTCTAAGGAGTAGAGTTGGTCGTAAAAGCATGAAGTTTTGATCTTTCAAGGAGGTTAAGGGTTGAAAACTGAACTAAATATTGTTATTCAAGTAGCACCAAGACTCCTACTTCTCAGCTGAAGGTATACATCTGAACTTTTGAAGATGGAGTAACTGAATCATGTGGAAACATGAAACCACCCAGGGGCAAAAACCAGTATCCCAAAGCAGAGGGAGTACAGAATAGAACCCATTCAAGAAGTGAATATGATTTTCTTCACATAATGGATGTCATACTATGCAAATAATGTCAGTTGTTTTATGTGGGAAAAATGATTATCTTTTCAAATGTGCTACTTTTCCACTCTGATTGTATGATTCTTAAATAACAACCTCTCTTGTTATGGAAGTACTTTGAAAAACTGTTTGCTATTTTTATGTATGTGCTTGTGCCTACTTGAGTGTCTTGCATTGTGTGCATACAGGAACCTGCAGAGGTCAAAAGACATAGCTGGGTCCCCTATGGCTGTTGTTGGGTGCAGTCGGGTGTCACCATGTGGGTCTGGGAACAAACCCAGGTCCTCTACAAAAGCAGTAAGTTCTCTTAATAGATGAGTCATCTCTCCAGCCTCTATTACACTCCTAAATCCAAAAGACCTGCCAGTTTTGTGCACATATTTAATACATTTTTGATTCACTAGGTTTAAATACAAAAAATTCTATTTTTCTCACTGCCACTCTCCCTGGTCCCCAGGAAGCTCAAATCTCTCAGAAAAAGTAAATCACTTCTCAAAATAAATCCATTTTCCTGCAATTTCTGGCCAGGAGACATAAGAAGCTCTGTGCTGCATACTTTCTAGGAGTACTTAGTCAACATATACCAACAGAAAGAGACTGGCAGGACAGGACAGAGTGCCTATGACTGGTCTTTCACGGGCCATCAAATGGAGTCTTGATTAAAGTAATGTGAACAAGAACTGGGAACTAAGAACTCATAGCTTTCAGGGCAGATGTAGTGGTCAAACAACTTTAAAAATCATCTACCAAATGGGCCAACTAGTAATTAAAGGCATTTAACTTGGCCCTAAATCAAAATTCCCTGTAGGATCAAGCAACACAACACAAGCCTGAAACTGCTGATCTGGCATGCTGAAATGCACATATTGTAAAGTGCAGAGCACGGCAGGCCACATTACTTGTACATCCCCCTATCTTCCTTTAACTGTATCCTCTACTCTTTGCCCCATATTGTCTTACTTGTAGATTACCTCCTTGATCTGATTGGATGTAAGTATATCCATCCATGCTCATACGCTTTCAGCAATGTGTCCAGGCGATTGACATGAATTAAGGAAGGAAATCCAGTCAGTACCATCTTTGCAGGACCTGGGTTAAAACTTCCAGGGTCTGACCTTATAAAGCATTTATTCTTCTTATGCATTTAAGCACAGTAGAATTTGGGAAAAGGTCTCCACATGATAATTAGCACAACAGAACTTTAGGCATAGCTACATATAAACACACTAGCAAAGTAGCAAGGCACCTGTGACCTTTGCAGTAAGAATGAGTTCTATTGGCTGATAAACAGCTCAGAGTTAGTGCCTACAGGAAGGATCTGTGATAAGCATAAGGATAGATCCTATCTGTGGAGGATGCAATATGCATGGGCTTGTTTCACAAGGGTGGGTTCTACTCACTGAGAGACAGAGTTCAGGAATAGGGCCTCAACAATGCTCAGGTGTCAGTGGAGGCTGGCTGCTAGCAAAGGATAAACCAGGTTGTTTGACCATTTTTACTCTGGCATTCCAGATGGGCAGGTATCACTGGCAATCCAAGTTTCTCTAATGCCTACTTAAAGCTGGCCTTTCTTCAGTAATGATTTTCAGTATCTCTAGCCTAGCAAGACTTCCATGTTGATATTACGATGACTCTCCTATTTTCTTCAAGATAGTCCTGTGAACTTAAAAGAAATCTGCACACAAACTGCTCATTTTGCCAGTACTGCTCTCACTGAACATTGTGATGTGGAAACCAAAAGGCAGACAATCCAAGCTTCAAATGCTATGGATGATGGAAAAAGGTTAGCAGCAGTACTACAGAATAGAGAGGAAGGCAAACCTCTTAAAAGAAGAAAGGAAAAGGCAATGGTTACCACCAATGCACTGGGAAACAGATAGAAATCCACATATATGTGGCAAGTGACAGAGGAAGGCTGTAAATAACAAATACTGAAAACTGAGAAAGAGTAAGAGTTTCACCTAAATTGACTGGGTAATAAAATTATATAGGCTTTTATAGTCAAATGCCTGAGCTTAAATGCTTACCTGGACTAAGTAAGAATAAGAAACACCATAAGAAATTCCATCCAATTTATAATTAACAGGACTAAATAATAAAAGTCCATGACTTAGAACACAAACAATATTCAAGAATTGGTTAACTGTTAAAATTAAGTATTTTGGACTAATACAGAACTGTTAGTTTACCAGCAAATTTCAGAGAACAAACATTTACTAACCAAAGATGACCAGTTTCCTAGTCTAGAGATAGTCACAAGATTCAAGGACAAGTGAACAAGGACACAGTGAACTTTTTACTTGTTTACAGTAAGGCTGACTTGACCACTAGGTGGCAATGATACAGCTGCATTTCACACGAAAAAAGTAAATCCAGGAAAAACAATCAAGAGACTTTTTAGTGTGTATTTGCATTTTATAAAAGGTATTCTATATGCAATTTAATTAATATTTTAATCTAATTCAATATGCATGTTGACTTCTAATGCTTTTTTTTCCACTAGGCACTCAGAATTAATACAACAAACACAATTTAGAATACTTTTTATCATAAATTAGTACTTTGAAAAATCTAGACACACACAGACATATATATATGTATGTATACATATATATGTATATATATAAAACAAAGATAACAGAAATTATGGGATGATTAAAAATCTTTTTAAAAGTTTTAGAAGCCCAAGACAACCAATGGTAAAAACAAAATATTCAAAACTGTGACAATTCTATTTCTTTTAGTAAATTCTGAGCCCAGACATGCTATAAAATATTTTCTCTTAAATTATAGTAATCTTAACATATGAAAACTATTTTCAATATCATGGATAAACAGAATTTTAAAAATCGGTCAAAACTCTTAGAACAAATTACAGGATTCCTTTTTGTGTCAAAACAATTATCTCTAACACTTCCTACCTATTTTTCTTTCTTCAAAAAACAGAATACAAACATATGATTTATCTAAAATAAAAGCTTTATTTTTTCATATCAAATAAAATCAGCCAAGTATGACAAAATTTTCAAGTTATAGATATTTCTAAATATTCAGTAAAAAAATTAAATTTCAAATTTCAGATGTTTCCCAAATATTAGTGGGAGTTCATATTATCACATGTAAAAATTAAAAACATTTATGAAAAATTAGGTAAATAAATAATTCTATGTTGTTATCCAACTCAAAAATTTAAAAATCCTTTTTTCCTTGTATAAATAAACTTAATGTTTCCCAAATTTTTAAGTTTTTTCCAAATGAACAGATCAAAATACCTCTCATAAACCAGCTTTCCAGTTTCTCTCATTTAATAATTACTTCCTACATATAAATCATTTCCAAAATTATATTTTCACCCACAAAAATGTAAGAAAACAGAAATATGATTTTAAGTTATTTTTATAATTCATAGACTATTTCCACCATCATTACTGAACTTCATTTTTAAATTAATATATATCATCCTGGTCATTTACTTCTCAGCCTATACAAATACAAAAACCAGATAACCACTTAAGATAGTTAGTACAAGAAAAGATTGCTATTGCAGCCCTCAATTCAAGCAGAAGAATTTAGGAAAGTGCTCACTCTCTATACTTTTTTAAAGCTAGAAAATGTAGGGAATGCCATTAGATCACTGATTTACAGAAACAAATATATGAGTATGTGTCATTTATATCTATGTAGAAATAGTTGTTTTAACAAACAAGGGAATAATACACATAATCCTCAAACCACTTGTTACATTTTTATGTTATTTCATAGGACTAGGTTTGACAATGTAGAACTCTAGGAAAATTAATCCACATCTCAAAGTGTCACACAAATACAATTATCATAACAGTGATAAAATTCAAATGCTTCTATTGATTTGGGTTTGTCATCTTCTGTTTATTTCTGATGGTGGCTCTAAGTTTTCGTATTACCAGTCTGTCAGGTAGAATCATATCACCTTGTTGTTCTAGATAATCTAATAAATTCTCAGTCCACTGGAGAGCAGCTGTATGATTTATTTGTTTCTCTGGAATCAGTTCAATTCCCTCATCATCGTTTTCACTGGATTCATCTGTCTGGCCTTGGGCCCTTCTGATGATCTCACTGTCGGTTAATACTTCGTAACCTGGCTCGGTACTGTCAATCTCAAGCCACTTCTCCACATTTTCAGGAGTCACATTTTCCAGTCCTTTGGTATGCTGTAAAATGGTGGCCACAGTAGCCCCAGAAATATCTTCCTCGTCAAAGTCCAAACCTTCTTTTTCCTCTATGGCAGGAAGAATCTGTTTCCAAGCTCTGCTGATGGTAACCGGCTTTACCAAGTTCCACGCCATTGCTATTTCATAAAGTGCATCCAACAGAGTCAGCTTCTTCCAGAATGATTTCAGGTCATTACCTTCTTCCAAATTGTTCTGGAGAAGACCTGCGCGATAATTTCTTTTCATAGTTGCTATGACTCCCTGATCCAAGGGCTGAATCGATGAGGCTACGTTAGGTGGTAAGCATTTTGCAAAGATTTGGCCATCGTCTGACCTCAGGACATTTTCATTTGGATGTGTTGGGGAATTATCCAGCAAGAGCACAGCTTTTTCCTGCAAGCCTTTAGATCTCAGGTACTCTCGAACCTGAGGCACAAAAATCTTATCGAACCATTGCCGGAAAATGGAGAGATCCATCCATGCCCCTTTTTGGCTGAAATAAGAGACTGGCAGGTTTAAGGTGTCAGTCGACTTGAAGGAGCGAGGTTTCCTTGCTTTGCCCACAACGCAAAGTTTTAGTTTGTGTAGGCCTGTTGCGTTGGTACAACACATAACAGTGACTCTTTCTTCAGCCGAGTTGTGCCCAGGGACAGAGCGTTTACCTTTAGTTAGGGCAGCCCTGGAAGGCAGGCACTTCCAAAACAGCCCAGTCTCATCCGCATTGTAGATCTGCTCCGGCTGCAAATTCTCGCGTTCGATAAAATCTCTGAAACTCTTACAAAAGTCTTCCACGGCAGAGTCATCTCCACCGGACCTTTCATTTCTGATGTTAATCTCCCTAATGCTGTGCCGCTGCTTGAAGCGCGTTAACCACCCGGCAGAAGGGTTAAAGTCGCCATCCATCCCCAAAGCGTAGAAAAAGAACTCTGCGCGTTTGGCACAAATCGGCCCGGATACGGGGTTGCCTTTCGCTCGCTGCTGGTTGAACCATTCCAGCATCGCTCTGTCTAGCTCCTCATACATGGACGGCTTCATGGATTTCCTCTTGGCCAGCAGGCTCGTGGAGTCGGAGCTGCTCGCGTACGTTATAATCTTCTCCTTGTTTCTCCTTATGTCCCTAACTGTGGTTTCGCCAATCCCGTACACCACCGCCAGCTGCTTGGACGAGCCCCCGTCCTCGAGTTTCTTTATTATGTCGAGTTTATCTTTAATAGTCAACACCACACGCTTCCGCTTCGCGGACATGGCGGGCGTCGGGCGCCGCTCCCCCTTAGGAAGCCCTAGGGGACTTGAGCGGTCTTGGGGCGCCCGGCCCGGCCCGGCGGGCGGCAGGGAACGTGCGGGGCGGGGCCGCTCGCCCACACTCGGGCTAGCGGGGCGGGGCTCTCGCGGGGACCCCAGCCCGGGCGGCGGGCGGCAGGCCCCGCACTCGCCCTGCCACACCCCGAAGTTAGCGCCCAGCGGAAGGGAGCCGCCCCGCCCGCCCCGCGCGCCCCGCGCGCCCCGCTCCCACCTCAGCGGCAACCCGACAGCGGCGAGGCCGCCGCGCCTCCCTCGGCGCGCGCTCCCGGAAGGCGCGCCCCAGCCCGCGCGTGTGCGCGCTCCGGCCCCGCCCCGCCAGGAGGCGGGACTTCCGCCTTCTCCCGGAAATGGGCGGGGCTGCCCAGCCTAGGGAACCCGGACGGAGGCCAGGGCGGGGCCAGGAGCGGAGAGCGGGGCCCGGGGCACAGGCGGGGCCCGGAACAGAGGCGGGGCCGGGAGCGGAGGCGGGGCCGGGAGCGGAGGTGGGACCCGGAGCGGAGGCGGGGCCCGGAACAGAGGCGGGGCCGAGAGCGGAGGCGGGGCCGGGAGCGGAGGCGGAGGCGGGTCCGGGAGCAGAGGGCGGGTCCGGGAGCGGAGGCGGGGCCGGGAGCGGGGGCGGGGCCGCAGCAGAGGCGGTGGCGGAGGCGGAGGCGCTTTGAAAGGTGAGAGCAAGAGGGAGGCTCCCTGCGGGTTTCTGGCGGGAATTCTGTCTGGCCTGGTCGCTGTCAGAAAATTAATGGAGTCCGGGGGACGCCTCGCCTCCCGCAGTGCCCAGGCCGAGTCCCGCGGCGCGCGGAGGGGACAGGCCGGTGCCCTCAGGCATGCGACCCGCCATCTCTTAGCTGCGCGTCACGGACGCAGAAAGGGGCCCGCAGTGTCTCCTCAGGCCCTAGTGTGTGCGAGCACAGCCCTCCTCGGTGTCTCCTCAGACCCCAGTCTGTGCGAGCACATCCCTCAGGTGTCTCCTCAGACCCTAGAGTGTGCGAGCACAGCCCTCAGGTGTCTCCTCAGGCCCCAGTGTGTGCGAGCACAGCCCTCCTCGGTGTCTCCTCAGGCCCTAGTCTGTGCGAGCACATCCCTCAGGTGTCTCCTCAGACCCTAGAGTGTGCGAGCACAGCCCTCAGGTGTCTCCTCAGGCCCTAGTGTGTGCGAGCACAGCCCTCCACGCGTGTCTCCTCAGCCCCCGCCTGTGCGAGCACAGCCTCCACGGTGTCTCTTCAGGACCTTCCTCCTGGGAGGCTTTCGGCACACTCCTGAGTGCACAATCCTTTTTCAAGGTCCTTGTCTGTGCAGACCGTCATCTGTGGATGCACAGCCCTTGTGCAGTCTTGGTGAAGCTGGGTCAGAGGTCCTGTCTTCTATCAACAGCCATCCCTCCATTTTGAAGGCCTGAGCACCCGCTTCCCGTATCTGGGGAATGAGTTTCTCCAGAACGCCAGGTTGGTAATCATGAATGTGACCACGGTGTTCACACCCCAAAGGATCGTTTCTTCTCTCTCTCCAACTTTCATCCCTGCCGGATTTAGGGAGCAACAGCCCCTGTCACAGATGCTAAGTGAGTGATCTAGCTATCCTGGATGCCAGGCTGGCAGGACCCACTCTACGAGACTGTGAAGTTCTATTGAACTATGGTGTCAAATGGGAGACATTGGCTTGTCTCTTAATACTTTACTTCATCATTTCCTTTTTTTCTGTCATGTTGCCCTCTTTCCCAGCCAATGGGAGGATTACGATAGATTCACTCAGACCAATGTGACAAAAAACCTAAGCAGAGTAATGCATGCAGCCCTCAAATCCTTTATTGCGCTGATTTGGGTTCCATGCCCCTAGTAATTTCGTTAAGATTGTGAGCTCCTTGGGAGCGGAGACTGCATTTATTTCTTCTAGTAGCATCATTGCTCCAGAATATGTGCTGGCATTTTGATAAATGTTCAGTAACTATTCTTTGGTTTGTAATATTTGTTCTCCAAACTACCATATAAAAGAAAATACAAAAGTAGCATAGTGTCTGCACTTCAAGTCAGAGATAAGTAACTATCATCTACCCACATTGTTGGTAGAGCAAGTAGGTGACTTCAATGTGAGATATTTCTTGAGTATGAATTAACCTCAAATTCTAAAAGAAAATATTCTTCTGATGAGAGATTCAAGTGGCATTAACACAGTCTCTTCTTTTACCTGTAAAGTTCCTTTGGGAGAACACAGGCAAATATGAATTATCTTTAAGTCACATCCTTTGGCAGACATCAAAGTTAATATAATGCATCTTACATGATAACCATGAATCACATGATAGTATTAACCTTCATTCACTTATTTGATGCTTTCTGGTGGAGTCCTTGTTTTTCTCTTTGCCTGAAGGTAAGATATCTTGATAAAATTCTCTTCTGAATTTTGTAATTCAGCATAAACAAAATTCACACCCATTTGCATGTATTCTTTTGCAGGTGAATTCTAAACATCAAGATGTCTTACCCATGAGCTTGACTTCATTTTCTCATTTTTCTTCCCTGGATCACTCACCTTTTCCTCTGACATTCTTCCCTCCCCGAATAATTTAGTGAAGCTATACGTGATTTAAAAAGAGAGCTAACATTAAAAAATGTCCCTTTTGCTAACTGTTTGTTTGCTTGTTTTACCTTATTGATAGAAATGACAAAAACACAGAAGCCCTGGAAAATGTGAAGTTTGCCAAATGAAACTTAGTTTAAATAAAATACATCTTCTAAAAAGGTCCAAGTCTTCATTTTTCCATAGAAATTTTTGCTTTGGACCTAACGAAGAACTCCCTTAAATTTTGTGGCTGATGTCATCAATAAAATGGAAGTCTGCAGCTTTCCATCTCTTGAACTTTTTTTCTCTTGCCTAATGGATAATTTTCAAAAATTCTGACTTAACCCATGTACACTTATATTCAGTTCCATAGTTTTAGAAAAGCATGTTTGTTAATTCTTACCATTTTGATGATTGCTTTCTGAAATTAAAATTTAGCATGACTAAGAAATAAAACATTACTTTGACGTGTTAATTTTCACTGTGTGTACACATGATATTGCCAGCAGTCATTGAGTGGCACTGGACGGGATCAGGAGGCCTGGTTTCTAACCCTGCTCTGTCACTAGCAAGCTCTGTGATCTTTGGTAAGTCATTTAAACTCTATGTATTTGACTTTAATATTTGTATTTGAAGATAAATAGTATCTTCTTTGGAAGATCATTGTCAGGATTTAAAAATAAAGATGAAAATATACTGACCAATTTTAAATATAGGTGATTTTTTTTATACCTTCACTGTGTACAGCCATATGCCTTCTTAATAGTATGATAGTCTTAATCATTTCTGCTCTTGTCCTGGAAACGACCCATTGTGAACATGCTGTAGTTTTATAAGAACAATCTGGTGTATGTGAATCTGCCTTGTGTACTAAAATAAAATCATCTTTCACCTTAACATTTCTTACTGTCCATATTTACTTCATGTATCTATTGAAACCATGTTTGTCTTTTTTATTGAAATGTTTTTCATTATTTCTCCCAATTCAAACAAGTTGATGTAATGTACATATGCAAAATTGGCTTATGAAAATTCATATGTGCTTACAAGTACTTTACTATACATAAACTGCCTAAGTTGTTCTAGTGTTTAACAAAAAATATTTTCCAAACTATTGGAGAAATTAGGTAGACACATTGTAAAGCAGTGGAGTATGCAATGGTGTGCTTTGAAGACTAGTCTAATGTTTTCAGGGAATTTTCAGTACATGTCTTATTGTTTATCTTTGTTGGCTTCAATATAACCCATGTAGATTATAACCAACTATCATATAGTTCATATAGACCATTTGGTGTACTAATTGGTATTTGTTACTATCGCTGTTACATTAATATTATCCTGTAGCAGATACTATCAAAAATTATACTTTGGCCTATGCTATATGGCTGATTTTTGGTGAATAATCTTATAATTTCTGTTGCTCTGATTTTATATGAGAAGTTACCACTATAGGGAGGTGTACTGCCCTATAACCATACCAGAATTAGTACAGTTAACATATTCTTTTCTCTTCCAAGTAACACTTTTTGGAATACTATAAACTTGGTCCAATAATGCCAACATTGCTTAATTATTTTGGCTTTGTCGTTTTGATACTACCTTTATAGTTAGGTACATATTTTTTTAGTATTTTCAGTGATTGTTAATCTTACAAAAACTTCTCTAAGCTTCTAACAGTCCCTTAGAAGTGAGAAAAGTGAAGTAGATGTCTGAAGCTAATGTTTGGAACATAAAAAATAAGCAGTGTGATTATTTTCATAATCTTGGATTATTTTGTTTTAAGGTTCTAGTTTTGTTTTATCTGTTGATACTAATATATATATAAAACAGAAATATTGTGTGATTGTAGAACATTTTTATAATAATTTTCATAAGCTTTTACACCTGTACTATGAGGTCATATTACCTTATGATTCTTCTGTGCCTTGGCAACCACAGAAGTGCATAAGTATTACTAAATTTATAGTTATCTTACCTATCAGTAATTTAATACATGCTTGTGATAAATTTAGTGAAATATACTTTATAAAATCACAAACTGACAGCTTTGACTTTTCTTCCTTGTACCATGGTACATAGTTTTGCTTTGCCACGAAACTTTCCTTATCTTTTCCATTTGACTACATTATGGACTTTTAGTAAGTTTGTTGGATTAGTCTTTATTTTTTAAGTGTAGTATAATGCCATTTCCTCTTCACAAAGGAATATAGAGGCTACAGTCTTAGCAGATAGGTTCTTTCTATGTTGTATTGTCATCTCTTTTTTATATCAATTACCACATTGTAACTTTGTTCATGTAACTTGATTGAACCTTTAATTTCATGTTATTTCTGTTCCAAATCAAATCCTACTTTGCCTGAGGATGAGTTAGTTCTCTTTGTGATTCAGTGTGTGTGTGTGTGTGTGTTGAGCACATATATGCAATGTATGTGAGTTTCCTTGCCAATGCAGATATATGTGGACACCAGGGATGGATGTAGAGCTAGCTTACTTGTTTCTCACATTATTATTATCATTATTGCCACTATCATTATTATTACTATTTGAAACAAGATTTCTCACTAAACCTAGAACTTGTCATTTCTGTTGATCTGACAGGCCAAGGAGCCACCCCTGAGATTCTGCTGTATCTGTCTTGTTCCACATTCATTGTTGGGTTTGGTGTGTACTGCACCAGCCAGTTTTTAATGTGGGTGATGAGAATGCCGATCCAGGTCCTCATGCTTTCATGGCAGTCAATTTATCTACCAAGCCACCTCCCAGTCCTGTCTTTGTAATCCCATCATTATTTTCTATCCTTGTCTCCCTTTTTTCCTGCCAGAAGCTATTTATCCCTTCTTACTAACACTTGTTTCCTAAGTATAACATGTTCCTTATCAGTGCCAGAGTTTTGCCTGTACTATATTTACTTATCTGAAATTACTTTTTCTCTCATTATTTCTCTTTAAATCTAACCAGTCCTTGAAAATTGTGCCTAATCAATTCTGCTACTGATGGTCTTTGGTGAACTAATTGCCTTACTAATCTTTCTACATCTTGACATTTCTATTACATTTATTTTTATTATTCATCAATACTGACCACCTTGACTTTTTTAAATTACGTTTGCATGTTTAGGTTTTATACAGTTTTGTAAAGGACACAGGACCATAATTTTTCTGTGTATTCTTTTCAGTACAACATAAAGCATAATTAAAAATGTGTTCAAAAAATAAATAATTCTTTAATGAATTATTTGTACATTGACTGTTCTCATGTCAATATCTCATGTGATTTGCCTTTGTGAACCATTTAATGAAACCAAATTAATGTGTACTATGTATTCATTGCTGTAATCTGGTTATCATTGTTATGTTCCTAATAACTTTATTTTGTAGAAGTTTAAGTGAAAATGGTACATGTTAGAAGACACGAAACAAGGAAAAATTCTAAAACTCAATTACCTGAGCAAAAATCTCGTGTTGATTGGCGTCGAACTAGAAGAAGTATCTCACAGTTATTTGATAGTGATGATGAGGAACTTGAGAGTGATGAGGAACTTGAGAGTGATGAGGAACTTGAACTTGATAGTGATGAAGAGCTTGAGAGTGGTGAAAGTATTGACAGTGGTGAAGAGCTTGATAGTAGCAAGAACCCTGGTATTAATGAAATACCAGAAAAGGAAACAGAGCCTAAATTAATCAAGGTTGAAAGTGAGGGAAGCAGCAATAAACCTCTTATGAACACTAGTAATAGTTCAACAGATGAAGAAAAAGTGAACGAAACTGAACATGACTTACCAGATGATGAAAATTGTCCACCGGGTCAAGAGAAGGGTGATGTCAACAAGCATACCAAACAAACCACAGAGGAGGATATGGAAGATGAATGCATCAGGCCTGGAAAAAGAAAGAGGCTGTCTTCTGTGATGTATGACAGTGACGAGAGTGATGGCAGTGATATCCTAGTTAGAAAAGTAAGTGCTAAACGTCCACGCAGGGTGGTTGAAGATGAGTGTTCTTCACTGGAAACGGAACAAGAAACCCCTGAAAAGTCATTAGCTGCTCGGAAGCGAGAACACCACCAAAAGCTAAAGGAACTCTCAGAAAGATCACGTCAGAGACAGAGACGCAATAGTGGTAGACATTTTGAGGTGTGTTTTATTTTGTTGGTTTATTCTTAAAATTTTACTTGAAAGTAGATTTTATAAATACTAAAATACTTACTCTATTCTGTTTCCAGTAAGTTAGAATTTTTAAGTAAGCATCCTTGAATGTTGTATTATTTTATTTAATCATAATAATTTATTGTGCACCTCTGTCTTTTAAAAACATTGAAAGTCTATTTGTTGTTCTGTATGGTCTTTCCCATTTTTAATTGCTCATATTTTAATGTTAATTTTAAACATTTTAAATCACATAGCCAAAGTCTACACTTCTTCGATTTCAAAAGTTCAATAGTTAGTCTTAAAATATGTGCTTAAGGGCTGGAGAGATGGCTCAGAGGTTAAAAGCACTGACTGCTCTTCCAGATGTCATGAGTTCAATTCCCAGCAGCCACATGGTGGCTCACAACCATCTGTAATGAGATCTGGTGCCCTCTTCTGATGTGTACATGGAGGCAGGGTGTTGTATTCATAATAAATTAAAAAAATTTTTAAACAAAGCAAAAAATATGTGCTTAAGTATATGAATCAATTTTTTTGCCTTCAGATTTAATTTTATAGCCATACCAGCTTTTTTAAAAGGCATAATATTTACTGAAGCATTTATTTTCATTTAATTAGGACTCTGAAAAGGAATCTTGTTCAAGTACTGATGAAGATGAGGATAACTACAAATATGATGAAAGTGAAGATGATTATATGATTGATGATTTTGTAGTACAGGATGAGGAAGGTGATGAAGAGAATAAAAATCGACAAGGAGAAAATTTGACTACATCACAACTGAAATTAGTAAAACAGAATTCTCTTTGTAAGTTAAATATAAAGATAGTTGTTTGTATGTTGTTCAAATCATTATATAAAGCATTAAAGCCGATTAATATCATCTTCTAAGTCCCTTGGTTAGAATGATGGTTTTATGTTCAGGTATTTTAAATTTAACAGTAAGAGAATATTCAACTGGTTTTAATAATTCATTTCCCTTATAAATACTGTGGACCCCAGGAAACATGCATTCATTTTCATCAGGCTAATTTTGTCAGGGTTTACCACTGTAAATGCAATTGAAAACACATTTATTAATTAAACTAACATTAGAAAAATTATTGTATTGACAAAAACATTTTATAGGAAATAACTATTTTCCAAAACAGAAGTCTGGCATTGTCCTAAGTTCTTTGAAATCACTTTGAAGATATATTTTTAAATTTATATGTATGTATGTGTACCCATGTGAGTTTATGTGCACAATAAGCATGTATGCGAGTGCCCACAGAAGCAAGAGGGCATTGGATTCCCTGGAACTAGATTTAAAGGGAGCTGTAAACCTTCTCATGTGGGCACTAGGAACAGGACCCAGTCCTGTGCAAGAGCAGTAAGCACTGTTAACCACTTAGCCACCTCTCCTGCCCCCTTAGATCTCTTCAATGTGATCTTACCAAAGGACAGCTGGATTCTTATATCCGAGTTGCTTTCAGTCTGCTGTAATATGTTGTTTTGTTGAAGTGAATGAAACAGTTTGCCTCACTGTGATAAACAACTGGAAAAGGGAAAAACATTTTCGTAGTAGTTCCAAAATTATTGTGAATATTCTCATTCAGATAGTGTTAATACACAAAAATCTAACAGGTGATACTTTCCAGAAGGTTAGTTGTAATGTGGAAACTGAAACCATATATATGAACTTTTAATACTCATATTATAAACCATTGGCAATCTTGCATTTTGTTGGCTATTTTATCCCAACTATTGTTGGCTATTTTCTAACAGGATATTGGTCATTTGGAAAATACTAGTTTTCTAGCTTATGCAGATACTCCATATTATCACATGAATCACCATTTTTATTAATACATGTTGATATTGTGGCTTCATCAGAATATTCCTATAATATGTGAAGTTGTCATATGCACAGTTACTGCATACAAGTTTTTCAGAATTGTGATTTTTTTACTTAAAAACTTGGCTTTACTTATCAGCAAAAAACATCAAGTTATACTTAAGGTGACAGGATTACAGTGTTCTGCTTGAGAAACATTTGATGAGTATTATTGAATATTATTGAATATCCAGTTTGTCATTTTTCTTTCAAGTGAAAATGACTGTTTCATGACAAATGAAGCTTTGTCCCAGTTATAACAGTTGCGTGAGTGATTTTTCCCTCAGAACCACCATTCTATTTTGGTATGCAGTATAAGTTTATTCTATAAAGTGCTAAAAAAAACTTGCTTATTAAGCTGGAGATTAACGACAGTGATTATTTTTACTGCTTCATTGAGAGGGTATTCCTAAGAGGATGGTATTTTATCACCAGTGCCTCACTGTGGTGACTGCCATTGTTGTTGTCTGGTACTAGTGCTCTTTGTGAAGGGCAGCTGCTTTGCCAATTGTGCTTCTGCCCCATCAGTAAAACCTCAGAAAAATACAGTGTTTTAGTATCGATAATTGTGTGGATCTTGTTAGTATCCTTAATAGACAGAGGACAGTATACTTATTCTAAAACTATAGGTTTAATCAAGCTTTTTGAACCTTCACACAGTGAAGCCTATCAAAATTAGAAAATTTTCTCTGTGTGTGTGTATGTGTGTGTGTGTGTACTTAATATAATTTTAAATAAGAGAATTTGAAAAGTTGGAATACATTTAAACATATGTATCACTACTTAGATACTTATAATTTTACATAAGTTCAAGGATTGTTTTCATGATGTTTTACAGTTCATATAAACAGGTTCATATATTCAAGAATTCATTCTTCCTAAATACTATTTTAAGAAAGTTACACTTACTAAAATCAAGTATCACGGTTTTGGCTTATATCCCACAATTTGTAATGAAACAGTAGGTTGAAGAATGATTCATATTTCAAGAAACTTGGCAAATTAAGAAAGAAAACAAGGCATTTCCAGGTTAATCTCCATCTTTCTTACCAACAGGCACTAGTTCACTTGTCACTTGGGCATTTGCATCACAAAAATACTTAAGAGACCTGTCATCATAATGGATTCTTTATTTATATGTGTTAGATATGTGCAAAACCAGCATGGGTAAACTACATCTAATTCCTTCTCTGCCTATTCCTCTCTGCTTACTTTATTTTAGTGGCAGTTTGGGAATCAGAGAATGGTTGAGTAGAAGTTAGAGTTTCTGTGTACTCCCTCACCCACACAATTTCTCTACTATTGACCTCTTACACTAGTGTGATACCTTTGTTGCAATTGACGAGCCCATCTTGATCATTATCATTAATTCATAGTTCACATTAGTGCTCTCTCTTTGTCTTATACCTTCTGAGCATTTTGACAACTAATGACATATCCATCAGAATAGTTCCAGTGTCCTAAAATGTCCTTTGTTCACCTGCTACTTTTCTAGTGTTCTCCACAGACTTGTATATTTGAATACTTATTCACTGGTAGTGGCACTGTTTTGGGGAGCTGTGAAAACCTTAGATGGTGGGACATGTTGGAAGAAGTGAGTTTCCAAGGACCAGACCTTAGGAATTACAGCTCAAACCCTGCTTCTGACTAAATGTCACACACTTGCTTGCTGTTCTCATTTTCCCTTCACTGCTTCACCATGATGTAATCAGCCTCATGCCTTTGCTGACGCAACTGTAAGCTGTTCTTGATGCCATGGTCTGTACCCTGTAACGGTTAGGCAAAATAAATCTTTCTTCCCTTAGGTTAGTTGTCAGGTATTTAATGATAGCAATGTGAAAAGTAGTAAATGTACATTTCCACCTTCAATTCCTAGAACATTAGGAAATCATTGATTTGTTTTTTTTCTCCATAGTTGTAACATTTCCAGAATGTCACATAATTAAGAACACCACAGCATGTAACTTTTCCTATGGTTTCTTCATTTAACTGTGGATCTTGTTTTTCACCCCCGTGGCAAAACCAGATGCCATAGCTCACTCACTTTCGTAGCTGAGTAAAAAATGCATTGTGTGGATTTGCTACAATTTATGCACTCACCTGTTGCTAAACATCTTGGTTGATTCCATGTTTTGGCAAGTATGAATAAAACTAATATAAACATTTGTGTTCAGAATTTTCTGTGGGCATAAAGCTATCTCACTTGAATAAATTCCAGGGAGCTCTGGGTACTTTTAATATTAAATATCTCTATCTCAAGACTTTGTATTTCACTTTCTATGTAGTCTATTTTATTTTATATGTTCTGCAGTTGCGGTAGTCTTACTCAACAAGTTGTGTTTCTTAACTGGTAACAATATTCTTCTTCTTCCTTCCTTGAGTTGACATGTTCTGTGAGCCACTATTCTGACTCTCTCTATCCCTGTTTGCTGTGGAAGTATGGAGTAGTAAACACGGGCTCTGTTCACTAACATATTCCTCATTTCTTCTGTTAACCCAGTATTGCTTTGTGCTTTGCTGCCACTATGACTTCTTAAATGTTCCTCTTCTGTAGCTTCTGTTCTACCCCTCTCTCCTGCCTTTCCTAATGTTGCGCTAATCTCCATTTGCCATTGAGCTTTGTATATCCCAGGATTTCATCATCAACTGCCTTCATTCTGCTTGAACTTGGGGCGGTTTTCCATTACTTTAGCCTAGCATATAGACAAAAATTTAACTCTAGGCAAGATTTCTCCTGAGTGTAAGGTACAAATGTTCATCATCTTGGTGGGTATGTTTAAGTATCTTTTAGACATCTCTAGCTCAATAAGCAGAAATCTGAGTTAGAGATATTATTAATTATTTTTAGGATGGCTAGATGATTTCATACATTTATCAGATCTGGCCATCAAAAAGAATTTTTAGTATATAAAAAGTAAAGCCCAATGAAATAAATATCTGACTTCTAGAAGAAAAGGCTACATGGTTGGCTATGTTCCCTCTTTGTTGTATTTCTATTCGTGTGTGTGTGTGTGTGTGTGTGTGCGTGCGTGTGTTTTCATTTCTTTTTTATTTAATTTAAGGTAGGAACTTACACTGTCACCTAGGGTGACCTGGAACTATTGCATGACCTGATTTCAAACTAATAGCAATCACCCTGCCCTCAATCTTAAAATTTTCAAGGATTGCAGTACTAGGGTACCACTCCCAGTTCTTAAGTCTTTGTGGCATTTTTATAGGAGTACATTGTTAGTTGGGTGGGTTACTAAAATACACATAGTGTCAGATTATTCCTGGATCTTATGGATGGAGATGAGAGCTAATCATGAGTAGAATTTTTGTATATATCAGAGCTAATAAAACAAAAATTTAGAGTTTATGTGTACAATTAATTAGTACTTTTAGCTTATCAATTTTATGTACAATGAATTGACAAAATTTAAGCAATTTTTGATTGTCCAAGGAATTAAGTTCTAAATGTTGCTATAAGGTAATTCTTATAAATTCAAAACATTTTTTCTCATTAAGGCAATAGTCTATATGATGAACAGTGAAAACCACCCTGTGACTTATGTTAAATTATAACTGAAGTGGCATTCCCAGATTCATTCGGCTAACTTCTACAAAAATTCATACTAAGTGCAACTCAGGAGACGCTTCTCCTGACTCTACATTCAGTGTACAGTTGAAAAACAAAATTGGCCACCAGTGGTAACACATGCCTATAATCCCAGCACTAGGAGTCAGAGGTAGGTGGGTCTGTGAGTTCAAGGCAAGTCTGGGATACACAGGAATTTTCAGTCCAGCAGGGGCTATACAGTTAGATCTTAACTCAAAAAATGGGTGTGGGTGTCAACTCATTAAAGACTAGGGAAGACATTTGTCATTTCCTCTTCACAAGCCATTTGGCCAAGAGGTACATCTATGCCACTTCAGGACTAGTTTCCTCCTTCATGACTGAAACATGACAATTAAGTCTTCCTCTATTTTCATCAACCCTGTAAACATCTGTTTATATTCTGAGACCACAGTTCTTCTGATAGATATGGAAGGTGGTTGAAGGGCAGGTATTTGTCTATCACATATCAAACTTGCATAGTTCACATGCCAGAAATACTGTACACAGGTAGAAGAAACAGGAAAACACTGTTAGGTGGATAGTAAGAATTGCATTAGTCCTTTAGCACTCTATCCTATCATATGTTCAGACAAAACTGAGCAGTAGAAAAGAATACATTTCAGCCAACCACTGTGTCACTAGAATACTGGACATTAGACCAAGAAAAAAACAGCTTAATTGCCACCTAGCAATTCAGATAATTCTATAAGTGCAACAAAAAGTGAACCTAAAAGCAATATTTGATTGGATTCAATATGCATATTTTTAATGTGAGGGTTTTTTAAATTACTAATAGGATCATCTGCTCTTTATGTGACCATATTTTCAAGTGAGAACCACCATTTATAATGAAACACTAGATGTGTTCTTTATGAAATGAAGAGGACAGAAATTTTTCTTATTTCAGATAAGCAGTGCATTAAGATGTGAAAACAAACCAAGTCAAACTACAGATGTCTCTGATTAACAGTGGTGTGTTAGTGCGTGTCTGATGGGACTGGAAGCAAGGCTTTAATGTCAACCTCCAGCCCAGATGAGGTGTACTTAAGGAATTTTCATGTCATCCCACTTCCTGTTACTGTTCTTCCTTGAATGCAGTGAACACTTGCTGTATCCTTTGTTCTGCCAAGCACGTCAGAGACTATAGAGAAGATAGATGATGCTTGAGTGAACTGATGGGCAGCTAACCTTCAGTTTTCACTTTGGCCTTCACCGGGACACATCTGACTCATTTGTTTTGGTTTTAGAAAAAACAAAAACAATTTAAACTGCACTAGCTCAATTATCCATTTTGGGAAAAATATTTTCTGTTTAGGATAAGTTTCTTGTGAGGTAGGTAAAAGAGAGTCAGTATTGGAAAACATTTGCACCTAGGATGATGAATGACATTAAGAGAAATAATATGAATATTTTAAGACCAGTGGTGTGTGTTGACTTTGTCTGCATAGTTTTCTACCCTCATTCTGTCTTCCCTGAGTGTCTACAGGGATAGAGAAAAACTGTTAAAAAAGAAAAAGTTCCTGCTCTACCTCTACCTGTCATGCTATGTGCATACTTTCATTTCATAAGACAATATGTCAGCTAGCAATTCACTTCTTTCTGGTGGAGTATTTATAAATTTTCTCTTTGAAAGAGAAAGCAGAAATAATGTCATCAGAACCCCTTAACAATACCCACCTCCAGCTCTGTGGTGTCTCGGGAGACTCATCTCCCAAGATATCCAAGAGAAGCTATTTTGAAATTAGTAAACAATCTCAGAAAAGTAGCCAAAATAATAGTGGATATGCAAAACTCAATTAGTTCCTTATATACTAGAAATAAATACTTAAAGGATATAATTAATGAAAATGCCTTCTACACCAGTGACAAAATAAAGTTTCCAAACCCAATTGTAAAATCATGGCAGTCTTTATAGAAAAAAAAAAACAACCCACTTACTATGAAATAAGAAAGGAAACATGAGTGAATGGAGAGACAAGCATGATCTGAAAGTACTATACACACCACAAGAAGTCTTTCTTTTGAAGTTGACTTGGAAGAACAAATGCAAAAGAATAAAGTGAATTTTGAAAAAGTAGTAATTGAAAGGATTTCTCATTCAGTTGAAATAAGTAAAACAGGGCAGAGCTGACATGAGAAAAACATCAAGATCAATAGGAAGGGTGTCGAAACAAAATCTCAGCATTCATACAGCTAAAAGATACAGGAAATAACAGAATACTTAGATATCAAATGTAACATGGAGGAATTGCTTACTATTTTAGAAAAATGAAATCATACATAATACCAACTATGGCTTCCTTATCCTTTTCTGGATTGAAATGGTCATGAAGTTCATGCATAGCATGCAGGAGACCCTCAGTACAAGCCTCAATATTGCCAAAAAAGAGATGATCATGGGGGAAATTTTTAAAAGTAAATCTCCAAGAATATTCCACAGACATTCATCCAATACAGGAATTAAAACTAGTCCTGAAGGAAGCCTGGGCTCCAAATCTAGTTCTAATTCTCTTTTCTGTTTACTTGTAATCTTCGGGTTCTTTGTCACTGAGAGTTGTCATTTTTCCTTCTAGATCAGAAATTTGAATTTTATGTTCTCCAATTCTTAATCCAGTTCTATGTCTAAAAGATAATACCAAATCTACCACCTATGCAAGAGACATTAATACAAAGTCTGGTACTCAGAGACTTCCCGGTACTTAGCCTTCAGCCTCTAGCTATATTAGGAACCCTTTAAATCATCTTTTCAGTTTCCTCAACTAAAACTACACCAAGGACTACACCTTGATTAACCCTCTAGAAATGGCAGTGCACATAAATGCTTCAGGTGATGCCTGGTATTTTCTTCCTCAGTTGTGTTATCTTTCAGTTGGAGATGCTAGGAATGTTATCCCTGCACTGTCCACCATTCACTCAAATATGATGAAACCAGAAGCTCATTTGTAAGGAGATTCTGATGAGCATGGCTAGGAAGAAGATCCTGTGGTTAGGAAGTCACCCATGCAATGCTGATCTCTGTTCTTTCCTCCAGCTCCTGAAGGAGAACTTCCAGAGCCTTTGAAACAGAGCTCTAGCTCTTAAAATTCCATGGCAGAGGAGTAACAGTGGGCATTAGCACATTCAAGTGAGGTTAAAAAAAAGTCTCTGTTGCATTTGCTTGATGGTTAAACTTAGTCCCAAAGTGGTTGAGTTTAACTTTCTATTCCCACATATCTGTAAATAATTTTTAACTCAAAATTATATACCAACTTTATTTTATACCAGTGTTGAAAGTCTAGTCACAGGTGAATTCTTTTGAAGTATTACTGTACTTTACTTTCCCATTAGATGTTACTGGTGTGTGTGTGTGTGTGTGTGTGTGTGTGTGTGTGTGTTTAATAGTCTTGTAGCCTCTAATGACACAATCACTGCTTTTGGAATTTTCAGTGGTAAGCCCTCTAAAGTCTAAGACTCAGTACAAATTACTTTTGTTGATATTTAAACTTTAGTATCTCTATGGAAAGAGTAGAAACTGAAATTTCCCTGAAAGCCTAAATACCTTACACAGCCCCTTTGGCAAATAAGTAAAACAGCCTGTCCATGTTCAATCCATTTTATCAACTGGAAATAAAACCCCCATCCATTCATGATTTCTAAGACTATGTCCTTTTTTTCTTCTTCTTCTTCAGTCCCTAACTAAACATCTTTCACATTTCCAGTCATAGTTCTCAGGTGCCTCCAGCAAGGCAAGTGTTCTTTGGTGACGATTTCAATCATGGGAAGGAGGATTTGCTAGAGAACATTTCCATACCCCACAGTAAATTCTAGTCCCAGAGTAACAAGAAAAGCACCACTGCCTGGCCTGTTCCCATGATTAAATCATGTCTGAGGCTAGCTTAGAAAGACTGTAATGGCATTATGTGTGTAGTGTGGTAAAGAGAAGGTGCTCTTTAAAGTCGTGTGGGAAGTCCTGCATTTGTGACAGGATAAGGGATAATGGAGATGTTATGTCCACTGAGATTTCTGTGGGTAGTAGTTTCCTGAGCTGTGTCATGTGTATTTTTCTTGCCTTTTTCTTTCACTCTAGTTCGTCATTTCAAGTAGACATGGATTGTTTTGATTTTCACAGTGTATCTCTCAGTATTCTCTGAAGAATTTCCCCCTTTGTAAGTATGGGGCCATTTTAGATGACATCTAGATACTTTGGGTTAGAAACCACCAAATTTGGAAAATAGACTTTTTTATTGCCCCTAGTCACACAAGCAGATACAGAATGAGCAAAATGTGTGCAACTTGTGGTAACCAATTTCCTAGCATTGGAAAGGGGCCTATTGCAATCATGATTGTTTTGCCTGCTATATTCTAATAATTACTTTAAATTAATTTCAGATTCTTTTAGTGACCACTATACTCACTTTGAAACAGTTGTGAAGGCTCTTCTGATCAACGCTTTCGATGAATCTTTTCTGGAAACCTTGTATGGTAAGTTACTAATACCACTGGAACATTTTTAAATTTTTCCTAAATATCTTTTGAAATTGGATGAAACAAAGCTAAGACAAACCATCCTTAAGTTTTGTCAGTTTAACGTTCTAGAATAAACTGCACTGAGTGCATTCACATGGAAAAGCTTGGTAATACTACTTAAGATATGTAGATGGTAAGTATGTGACAAGTCCTTGCTCTAGAAGATTCTACAGTGAATTTGAGAATATAGAACATACACCCCTAAAAGAGAAGGGTGCCTTAACATTCCTATGCTTTCTCAGTTTCTCGAAGAATTTGAATTTCACAAAAAGGCCATGCTATTTCTGCATTTGTGCCTTGGTCCATACTGTTCTCTGTAAAAATGTTAATCTTTTTTATTATAGATATTCTAGGTAAATGTAAAAACATGTCTATTGTGAAAACTATGAATACTTTTCATTGCCTTGCCACTCTCATTCTGAGTATGGTTGTAACCATATATGTGAATCCCTGTGTTGTGTTGAAAATGTGTCTGTTTTCTTGCCTTACCAGAGTATGAGAAATTAAACTTTTAATATATACACTTGTCCCCAACACAGAATCTGACTTTTCATTCATAGACTCTGCATATCTTATGCTGAATATCTATTAGTGCCTAAATAAGATTTTATTCATAAGTTATAGAATACATATTTCTTGAATGCCATCTATGGTCAGGCATTATTTGAGGATTGGTGATACTATAATATAACATATATGTGTGTGCATGTTATAATATGTAATATGTATATAATATATATGAAGATTGGACAGATTGGTCAAATAAAGTAATGAAGTATCTTTTAAATATAAACATTAGTAAGGTGAATGTATTAGTTTGCCTTATATTTCTGTGATAAAAATACTGACCAAAAGCAATTTAGGAATTAAAGGTTTATTTGGTTTATATGTAATAGGTCACAGTTCATTGAGGGAAGCCAAAGCAGAAACTTGGAGTCAGGAAGTGAAACGAAGGACGAGGAGGAATGCTGCTTACTGAATTCCTTTCCATGGCTTGCTTAGCCTTCTTTCTTACATAGCACAGAACTGCCTGCCCAGGAGTAGTACTGTCTACAGTGAGCTAGGCCTTTCCACTTTCATTATTAATCAATAAAATGCCCCATACATTTGCCTATAGTTAATCTAGTGGAACTATTTTTTTCAACTGAGTTTCCCTCTCCCAAACACCACCCAGGACAATTGACCCCTTATCAGTTTGATACATCAATACATTACTATTACATCACAACCCTTCTAGCTTATTTACAATATCTCATATTTATGTCAATATCCAATATAGAATATATTTCAACTTTTAAAAAAGCTCCAGTCTTTACAAATTGAAACACTATTGTCTTTTTTTTCTTTGAGACAGAGTTTCTCTGTGTAGCCTTGGCTGTCCTAGAATTCACTCTGTAGATCAGACTGGCCTCAAACTCAAAGATCCACTTGCCTCTGCCTCCTGAGTGTTGGAATTAAAGATGTTCCAACAAGTTCAGTATTTAAAAAAAAACACCAACAGTCTCTATCGAGGATCAGAGCCTCTCTACAACTTCAGAGTCTCTCAACCATGGGCTCCTGTAATCAAAATCAAAAGACAAGTTAAATATTTTCTTTCTCCAAAAGACAAGAACCAGGGCATATTCACAGATAAATAAAAGCAAGCCCAAAGTCCTTCAGTGTGAAACTCAGTGTCAGACTTCTGGGACTCATTCACAATCGTCTGGGATTCAGAGGTCTGAGCAGCCACTCACAATACACACAGCTTTTCTCTTATTCTCAGGCCAGTTCTACTCTACACTTGATGCTCTCCTTGGTTGTCACCCATGGTATTTTCATCTCAAATGTGCTAGGAATTCGGCAGGAATAGGGCTGTACCTTTCCCAATAGCCTCTCCCTGACTTTCTTCAAGGACTCTTTACTCGATGTCACATAGCATCAAGTCTCAACTGCTCTCCATGGCCCCTTCATGCCTTCAAAACTAGTACCACATGCATGAGTCCTGGACATTACCCAGTTTGGCTACCAGTTCAACGTATACACCTGACCTCTTTAGACCACATCTTCTGTGTGCTGAGCCTGAGGAAGCACTTCCAAAGAGACTGCACCTCAGTGATGTTTCATTACAGCTGATTCTTCAGTCCCAGATGACCAGCACCACAGACTCTTAATTCAAAGCATCATTCAGAGGGTCCCAGTAGACCCTCTTGGACAGAAACTTCACAGCTCAGGCCTCCATTGTCTACATTGCTTTCAGCATCCTTGTCTTTCAGGATCCCACAGAACAGCCCATGAAGCTCTAAGCACTCAATGACTTATCCAGTCCAGAGTTCCAAACATCTCCATAATCCTTCCAAATCATGGTCAGCTCTGTCACAGAAATATTCTACTTCCAGTTCCAATTTTTGTATATAGTCTCCTTTATATTACTATGATAAAATACTAACCAAAGACAACTTGGGGGAAAGGGTTTATTTGGGTCATAGTTCATTGAGGGAAACCAAGGCAGAAACCTGGAGGCAGGAATTGAAACAGAGGCATAGAAGAGTGCTGCTTACCGGCTTGCTTTCCATGGCTTGCTCAGCCTGCTCTCTTATACAACTCACCTTGTGTTTAGAGAGGTTTGTGTCAAGTTAGACAAAACCAACCAGAACAGATTATACTATAGATTATGCTTAGGGTCAGAGTAACAGTTAAGAACATTCAAGAACAAGTAGCAAGACCAACGTCATTATAGGGCAATGAGTCAGGTGAGGGGTGAGGGGAGGAGACTTCAAAAGAGGTAATAGTGAAGAGAAGAGCTTTTAAATCATGATATAGTGTTTAAACATGTAGTGACTTAATAAATATGATACATTTATTAGCTACATTCATTTGGAAATACACTTCTGAAGAAAGTAGGAGACTGAAGCTTAGCATCCCAGGCCATGACAAAATACATATAAATTGAGAACAAACTACTAGTCAAATTAGGAAAGCAAAAGTGACTGTAGTGTGCTATGAGAGGATGAGGGGGAGACAGGCAGAATAGGCTTTTCCAGTGTGTTGTCGGGAGCTACCACTAGATCATGGATGGAGCCAGCAGCAAGGGTCCGCAAAGCATCATCAGTAATTCAGTGGTTATGCAAATGGGAATCAGTTTTAGAGGAAAGAGAAAAGGTTCTGTGCAAGCCTTTTCTTGGGGTTCCTTCTGCTATCAGATGTACATAATAAAAAAGTCTGATGTTTACAGGAGGTTATTAGAAGCTCTGCACTGTTCTCTGCCCCTGTGCTTCCATGAAATTAAACATTTTCATGATTAATTATTTCCTAATTTAAAATATTTACAACTAGCTAGCCATCTTTCTAAAACTCTGACACATCCATAATGTTCAGTTGACTCAGTATTTCAAGTGTTCTACTTTTTTTTCTGCTGACAGCTGGCACCAGGAAGAAGTCGTATGCACAAGATATGTTGACATCTCTTCATTATTTGGACAATCGCTTTATTCAACCCCGCCTAGAGAGTTTAGTCTCTCGAAGTCGATGGAAAGAACAATATAAGGTATATAGTTTGTCTCTTAATCTCTGGTAAGAGCATGGGGACAGTGGCCCTCTCACGATTTCAATATCCAACCAGATGGAATCATTTTCTAAAAGTGTTGGCATCCTGTCTTGTTAAATAATAATGTATTTTAATCTCTTTCTCACGTCCTTATTGTTTTAAATATCCACACTAATGTCTTCAATAATTAAATGGCTTGAAATAATTTCAGAGCATCTCTAGGGCTTAGCCTATTCTAAAATGAGGAGGTTGTCTTATACGATGATTCTTCTGGGAAGAAAGTCACATAGATGAAGAAGTTTGAAAAGACTGTGCCTAACTTAAACTGTTTCTGTATTGGAGCACTTTTCTTAGCACTGATTCATGAATCTACACCTCAGGTCTTCAAGAGGGATTTGGACAGCAGGATTTCTCAAATTGTGGGTCCCATGAGGCTGTTTCTCTTGAGATGCAAGTTATTCCTTCTACTTTTTTAAAAAGTATTAATTACTCTTTTTTCCAATATTATTTTATTATGTATATATTGTTCCTGTCTGCACACCAGAAGGGGGCACCAGATCTCATTATAGATGGTTGTGAGCCACCATGGGGATGCTGGTACTTGAACTCAGACCTCTGGAAGAGCAGCCAATGCTCTTAACCTCTGCGCCATCTCTCCAGCCCCTCTACTGTTTTTTTTTTTTTTGTATATTTTTGTGTATGTGTGCTTGAAGTATGTATGAAAGTATCTGACAGACGTGTGAATGAGGACACACCCTGCCACAGCCCACTGAGGGAAGAGGACAACATTCAGCACCTGGCTTCCTCCGTCCACTGTGGGTTCCTGCAATAAACTCAGATCATCTGACTTCCCTAGCAACAAAGAGTTCTACCCAGGAGGCATCAATTCAGACCACTCTTAGAGTGTTTGATTTCCATAAAACAGTATGTAAAATACTGACTTATATCATGTTTAACATAATCTCAAACTTAAGATTTTATAATTCTAGCAATTTAATATTGAGGGATATTAATGACCATTGATTGCTCATTCTTCTTTGATTTGGAATGGTTGTTGTTGGTGGGATTATGTGTGGAATTTCACACCTTTGTTCTTTTGGCTGTTGGTAGAGAGGGATTCTCTAATGCCTATGTTTTTCTGGTTGTAGTTACCTTCCTTGGCTTGGAGTTTTCCTTTCAAAACTTTCTGTAGGGCTGGGTTAGTGGATACGTATTGCTTGAATCTAGTTTTGTCATGGAATATCTTGTTTTCTCCATCTATAGTGATTGAGAGCTTTGCCGGGTATAGTAGTCTGGGCTGGCATCTATGGTCTCTTAGTGTTGGTAGAGTATCTACCCAGGACCTTCTGGCTTTCAGAGTTTCCATGGAGAAGTTAGGTGTAATTCTGATAAGTTTGCCTTTATATGTTACTTAGCCTTTTTCCTTAGCTGCTCTTAATATTCTTTCTTTATTCTGTATATTTGGGGTCTTGATTATTATGTTGCGAGGGGACTTTTTTGTGATCCATTCTATTTGGTGTTCTGTAAGCTTCTTGTACCTTCATTGGCATGTGTTTCTTTAGGTTTTTCTTGTACCTTCATTGGTATGTCTTTCTTTAGGTTGGGAAAGTTTTCTTCTATGATTTTGTTGAATATGTTTTCTGCCCCTTTGAGGTGGTTTTCTTCACCTTCTTCTATTCCTATTATTCTTAGGTTTGGTCTTTTCATAGTGTCCCATATTTCCTGGATGTTTTGTGTTAGGGATTTGTTGGACTTAAGATTTTCTTTGGTTGATGAATCCATTTATCCTAGTGTATCTTCAAAACATGAGATTCTCTCTTCCATATCTTGTATTCTGTTGGTAATGCTTGTATCTGTAGTACCTGACCGTTTGCCCAGCTTTTCTATTTCCAGCCTTTCTTCAGATTGTGTTTTTTTTATTATCTCTATTTCAGTTTTCAACCCTTGCACTGTTTGAATTGTTTCTTGCAATTTTCGGTTTATCTTTTCGTCCATTCATTGCATTTTATGAATATTTTGGTTTGTTCTTTCTTCCATTTCTTGAATTTTTTGGTTTGCTTTTTCTTCCATTTCTTGCATTTTTAGTTTGTTTTTCTTCCATTTCTTGAATTTTTTGTTTGTTTTTTCTTCCATTTCCTGCATTTTTTTTGTCCATTTCTTTGAGGGATTTTCCTATATTCTCTTTTAGGGCCTCTATCATTTTCATGAAGTTGTTTTTAAGTTATTCTCTTCTGCTTCATTTGCACTGGAATGTTGGAGTCTTGCTGGTGTGGAGTCTCTATAATCTGGCGGTGTCATATTTGTTTTTCTGTTGCTGAGTGTGTTTTTGTATTGTCTCTTTCCCATCTCTTCTTCTAGTGGGTACAGAAAGAGCCCCTTACTGGTTTGGTGGTTAGGGGACCAGAGTTCCCTTTTGGTGGGTGCAAGAAAGTCCAATACTCTGGTAGTTCTTCCATTCCTCATCCTATTTCTGGTTCCGTGGATGGGGAAGAAGACCAGGAATCTGGGGTGCTTAGTCTCCCACCTGGTCCTCTGGTCCCTTTGGTGGAAGAGAAGACTTGGGATCTGGGGTGCTTGGCTCCCACCGGGATGGGAAGCTCTGTGGCTGTGCCCAGGTACTGGAAGGCACACCGGGATGCCTATTTGTTGATTTTTAACAACTCTGGATCCCCAGTTTATTTTTCAGATGTAAAAAAATTACTCATCTACTTTTAAGGGAAATAGATATTTATTTTATTTTAGGTAAAAGGCACAAAATAATTGTTTTTGCTTTTTTTTTTTTGGTTTTTGGTTTTTGGAGACAGAGTTTCTCTGTGGCGTTGGAGGCTAGAACTAAGCTCTTGTAGACCAGGCTGGTCTCACAGAAATCCACCTGCCTCTGCCTCCCGTGTGCTGGGATTAAAGCTGTGTGTCACCACCGCCCAGCTAAGAATTGTTATAATATTATTTTCTTTAATAGAAAGAAAAGCATTACACTTTTAAAGAGTACTTAGCCTTTGACTAATGACTTACATGTGAAATGTATTAATTACTTAATCTTAGAAGTAAGTCCAAAAGGAAGGAACTATTCTTTCCTCTATTTACAATGAGGAAATGTAGCCAGAGGAAGCAATATTCCACAGCTATTAATTTCACAAGTCAGTGTTTAATAGAGTCCTTCAAGAATCAGACTTTGAGATGATATTATGCTTTGTCACACTGGCATGTTATAGTGGATTTAGAAAACTCAGGATGAAATAACAATAAGAAACACAGAATTGTGAGACAGACGATTCAGTAAGGTCTTATGGTACACGAGTCACACTGCAAAAGTTAAAGAAACATGAAGAAAACTCACTGGTTTAGCCAAGAAAAATGTGTATGCCACTTACATGTGGGGTGCATTCTGTTCACACAAGTCACCCAGAAAACCAAGCTGTCTGATCTTTCACCTCCTGGTGCTACCACAGCACCACAGAAGCAGGAAGGGAAGAGGGCCAGTCTAGACCTAAGTCTGTTAGTGACACACTCTGAAGTGTGAAAACTTTGGCAGGTAAATCAGAACAGTGTTGCAGATCACACAGTATGTAAAGGAACAGTGTGTCATCCCACTGGTGTAGGGGATGAATGTGGATTAGTAACTGTGCTAGCAACATGCTTAGTGTGGTCATTCAAGCGTGATATTAAAATACATTGCCAGTAGAACAGGACCATCTAGCACAGCCTGCGTGTGAGCATGTTTACTCAGTACAAGTAACTTAATCGTTAATGCAGTGTGCTTGTGCAGACCAATGTTTCTCACATTGTTCATTCATTGGTGATCCAGTCACCAGACGGCCCATCAGTACAGGACATGGAACGTTATTAATTGCAAGGTGATTATCTTCACAAGACAAAGTCTGTGACTGGAGGAGGATTAAGTTACTTACAGAATGTTTTGAGGAAAATATGATTTAACTCATGAACTGAGGAATGAATGAAACTTTTTTCGAATTCTAACTAACTTAAATGAATTCATCTTTCTCTTACCCTGAATTTTTGTTGCTCATTTTCCTACTTAATAGCTCATTGATGCTACTTATAGGTGAGACTTGGAAAAAAGTAAGTTAAAGCCTATTGAAAACAGTACTATTAGTAATTTGCAAGCAAAGAGATAGATGAAACTAATTGTTTTTCCTTGTCTGTTTTTTATAGTCAAGATTAATAATTTACTTTTCAATTTAAAAATATCTTCTTCAGGGGATGGGATGGAGGTCGGTGGGGGGTAGGGGAGGAAAGGAGGGAGAGGGAACTGGTATTGACATGTAAATCAAGTTTTTTTCTAATTTAAATTTTAAAAAAGAAAAAAATAATCTCTAAAAGTGAATAAAGCAATGTTAATAGACTTCAAGAAATAAAAATACCTTCTTCATGTAAGAAATTCCATGCTTTTCTTATATTTTTCCCACTGGTTTCCAAAGTGGGTTACCATTTGGATATATTCACATTTAACATAATCTCCATTATTTTTAACTATTGTCAGGAGCGAGTTGAGAGCTACTCTAAGTTAAGTATCTCTTCGAAGAACCCTGAGGACTGCTCCTGCCAGGCTTGCGGGCTGCATCGCCACTGTAAATACTCAGTGCATCTCTCAGGAAAGTTGTACAACACCAGGACAATGGAAACAGATGATTTCATGTCACATGACAAGCAGGTATCTTTTGCTAATCTCTGCCTTTGATGTTTAGAACATTTAGGCTCCATAGCTTGTCCTCTATATAGTTCTTACAAATAGAGAAACCACTACAAAGAAGAGAAGGTACATATGATTTTCTCTATTTCTATTAGTATGCCACAGATACTAAACCTAGGTCCCCAGCTTGCTAAGTAAGCACCCTACTGAGTAGCACACCTCAAAGGTGGAAATTTGTCTTATGTAGCACACTCATCCCCAATTAAGTGAGATAAAGTCTTTCCATATTCTTAATCTCGGTGAGTCATAGTGCCGGGCTGGGGGATAGGATAATAGTGATAAAGAAGTTACTCAGGCAAGAAAACAGCTGCCACCTGTGAAGTCCAAAGAGGAACATGGCTCAGATGAAAACCTCATGTCAGATAGTATATACATTAGCAGTTTATAGGTAAATAATTGAAAATGACTCTTCTTCCTATAAAGAGGCAATTCAGATTTTATCTGGCATGCCAGTGTCTAGAGCAATTATTTACCTGATTAATATGGTGTTAAATCTGGACATAGAGAGGCATCAAGAAGAAGTAACTGCTAGGCTTGGTGGTGCACACCTTTAATCTGAGCTGGGGAGGCAGGAAGAAGCAGGAATAGGCCAGCCTGTTCTACAGAACTAATTCCAGACAGGCAGGGTTACATAGAGAAACCCTGTCTCAAAAAAAGAAAGAATGAAAGAAAAATTTTAAAAATAAGTAATTAATAGACAAATAGGAACTCATAAAAATATAAATTCTGTTAGTGTTTTTAATCTTACTTTGTAAGAAGGCTGCATTTGTAAATATTTGAAAACTTCTTCTAGTGACTCTGCTTATCTTTGGAGAATGTATGTTTTGAGAGGATAGAGACCTAAAGTTGTTCCTAAATCTTGCATTATTAAAGTGGAGGAAGAGGAAAAAGAAAACAAAGCCAAAACACTAATAAATAAATTAATGAAAATAAAGTGGAGGAAATATGACTTATTGGGAAGTATGATTCATGAGTACCGCTGGGCAGTAGTTGACCAGATCTCTCTTAACATTATAAAGATTGGGAAAATCATTTACAGATTTTATTATTGGGGACTGGAGAGGTGACTCGGTGATTAAGGGTATTGCTTCTCCTTCAGAAGACCCTGGTTCAGCTCTCAGTTCTCACATGGCAGCTCACAGCTGTTTATAACTCCAGTTTTATAAGGTCTCATGCCCTCTTCTGGCTTCCATGGGCTCCTGCATGCATGTGATGATACACTTACATACACTCAGGCACAGGTGCACACACATAAAATAATATAAAAAATTTATATATGGATAGTGAATTCAGAATTGTTCTTTATCAATATTGTATATGCAATATCCTCATTGTTTAAAAAGTGACCTAGGATTTTTATAAGAAATCCAGAATCTTATCAAAAGTGATTGAATATTTCAAGAACCGTAATCTGTTGTATGGATCAAATATATTGATTTCAAAATGTCTTTGTTATATATGGCTAATCCAGGAGGGGAAAGTAGAGTTAAAAAATCATTCATAGAATTCTAAAATTACTGAGAAGAAATAAAGTTTCTATTTAAGCTTGTTAATTCAGGTATCTAAAATTAAGGTCACATACAATGGGACATATGTCTAATCCTAATATTTAGGAGTCTGAGTCAGGAAAATCTGAATTCAAGGCCAGTTTAGGGTACATAGCAAATGCCAAAACAGCCAGATCTAAACAGGGAGACTGTGTTTCAATAAAAAAAAAGTCAAAAGGGGAAAAAAACCAAAGGAAAAGATAGGGAGGGAGATGGGGGAGAGGGAAAGGGATGGATGGGAGAAGGATGGAAGGAAAGGAAGAGAGAAGACAGGAGAAGAGTGAGGAGGGGGGAAAATGGAGGAGAGGAAAGAGGAAAAGAAAGGAAACAAATAGGTGAAACCAAAAGAGTAGAGTCACACAGTTAGGAAAATATGAAAGTTAAATACAAGATAAAATGCTCGTTCTCCTTAAGAACATACAGATAAAACTACTTATGATTCGCATTGACAGCTCCTAAATTGCGGTAGTATTTTTAAATCAAATGTTGAAAGGTAATACGACCAGCATTACTTAGAATTTTGTAGGCTTATGAAAAGTGAAATTCCTAGAAGAAGAGATGTCTGGTATATTTTTAAAATACAGGTGACTACATAGCCAAAGTTGCTACAGTCACTATAAGTTTATCCTATGAAAGTAAATTTAATAAAAACAAATGACATAATTGCAAAGTTCCCTGAAGCATTTTTGGTAAGGATTGAGGTACAAAATAGTAGAAATTGTCCAAATAAAATATTAGAATGCAAGAATGTGTGACAGGATATAATACCGCCTATTCAGACAATGTTATTAATAATAGTTATTATGGGTGTTTTGAAATGATGCTGGGTAAAATAAATTTTCTTCAGTAAATTTTTATTTCAAAAACTCATTGTATTCTAATTAACTCATAAGCATATCACAGAACTAATTTAGGGAAACCACTGAAACTTTATTTTTTGTTTTGGCATAGAATTCATTAGTTTCCAAAAAAAGTATAATCAGAGTCTGTCACTGTCATTTACTAAAGTTATTTTCTATCCTATTGAACCACTGTGTCAGTGCATGCAAATAAAGGAAAAAGTTAATGTACTTATATTCTGGGGCTTAAAAAGGCTGTCCACACCTCTACCCACTGACCTCATATTGTTTGGAAACCACTCTCTATTTTATCGTTGTGCTGAAAGTTACTTAAAATTGAAATCCTAGGATTAACCAGGTTCTTTTTGAGGGTGCAGTAAAACCGTGATTGTTTGTTGAAAATTTTCTCTTGCCTGACTTACCAAAGATTAGCGTATTTAAAAGAAATGATGTGCTTTGTTGGAGGATGGAGTTACCACATTCACAAAATGAAGCAGTGTTATATTGGACAAGAGGCCTTGGATTACAAGGTTTTGGTGTTGGGGGAGGGGGAGAAACAAGTCTTATCAAACTCAGGAAATGAAAGAAACTTAATGCTCACAAGACCCCTTCCCAAAGCTATATAAGCAGAAACAGTTGCCAGAAGGGGGAGGAAAGGGTGGTGGGGTGATGGGTTGGTGTTTGGGTTGACTGTACGTAGTTCAGGGAGCTGCAGGAGTGCAGTTCTCATGAATGAGCTGTCACCTGTGCTGGGCACGCTTCTCAGTTTTGCCCTTGCCTTTGATTCACCCATGCCCCTGTATAGAAACCCAGAACACTCAGTGAACCACTACCTTAAACTTAGGTGGAATGCTTTCTTTGGTCTGTTTTTGAGTGCCATACATGGAGTGAATATATATTTGTTCATGTCTTTCCAGAAGTCACAGTCAGGCAACAGTGGCACACAACCTTAATCCCAGCACTCGGGAGGCAGGAGCAGGCGAATCTCTTGAGTTTTAGTTTGAGGCTGGCCTGGACTACATAGTGAGTTTCAGGATAGCCACAGCTTCACAGAGAAACGCTGTCTGGAAAAAACAAATAAACAAAAGTCTCAGGATATAATGAAATGTCCAAAATGCTTCACTTAACCATGTTGTAGTTCAGTCATCATTATTTAGCTTGAATTCCTTTTTTGGCAGCATTCTCCTGGTCTCTTGTCTTCACAGCACCCTCAATTCTGCATTTCTGTGTGCTGCAGCTTCAGAAAAAAGTGGCATAGATGACTATTAAAAATATATAGCTAGTACTAAACTTGTGCACTTGAGCAGAGACAAACACTTAAGTTACGGCATTTGTACCCTCAGGTCCTTATATGATATATATGATCATGTTGTGCTTCTTGGAGCCCATTTTGGTGAATTTTCTACAAAGAGTAGAAAAAATGTGAATTAAGATGTATTTAATTTATCACCAGCGTGATATTGGCCTCCTGTTTTAGCTGGATAGTGAGCCATAACCATCAGAACAAACAGAAATGGTCTGGTTGACCGATTTCACAAACATGCATCACAGAGTCCTAGAAGCCCATATATAATCAAAGCAGACAATAAAATGTTAATGTCTTATCTATACATCACACATGAATTAAAGCCAAAAGTATGCCTACACACAAAGAACGTTTTTACTTTACATTTGGAAATTGTTTAGGAAACAGCTAACAATACTTAACACTGGTGTAAGAGTGCGTCACTTATAGTTGTTGCTCATATTTACAATTTATCGTACTCTGGCATTTTAAGCACAAAAATGTATATGCCATACTCTGCATGCCTTCTGCTTTTATGTGTGTTCATCTTTCTTCCTTAAAAGCAATTTTTCTCTTTCTTCCCAAATTCAGATAATTGTTTTCAGAACTCCCAAGAATCACTGACAGAGGCTAGGGAGGTATTCAGTCAATAGAGGACTGCAAGCATGAGGGCCTGAGATCAAGCCCTAGCACCCACTAAATCAATCAATCAATCAATCAGTCAATCAAGTTAAGCTCTGGAAAGCCCCACCTATTTGGAAAGTTCAGGGTCAGTGCGAAATGCTGCCTCACAATAAAAAGGATTATTAGAGCCTGAAGAATGGTACCTGAGATTGCCCTCTGGCCTTCATATATCCATGTACACATACAAAGAAACATGAACTGACATCTTGGCAGCATTCTGAGCACAACATTTGGTGTGGTGTTTTATAATCATCTTTTTGCTAAGGCACTAAGCTCCTAACACAGGTGCTGCGTCCTCAGTTAGCCTCCCTCTAGCCCCTGCCCAATACGGAGGGCATAGTAGGTGACAGGTTCTGTTGACTGGCTGTATAGATAAGATAAAGAAACCATTCATATAAATATTTAAATATAATTAAAAATACGTGTTTTATATTCTACTGTTAAGGGAAATCTGAAAACTAGAAGCGATATGTATATTCACTTCATATTTGAGATAATGACATATATTTCTCAATGTAGGTGTTTATTGTTGGCAGAATTTGTGCTGATCGTACCAGAATTTATCATAAACTGAAACATTTTAAATTCAAACTATACCAAGAATGTTGCTCCATTGCAAAAACAGAAGAAGATGGAGATGAACAGGTTAAAGAAACAGTAGGAAGAGTCTTCAGTCAGTCAAAAGAAAGTGGCTGGATTAGAAAGGTAAGACTACAGACCTTCTCCTTTTGCAGAACCTGGAGGTTTGAAGATGCTAGCAAAAGATGACATCTGTAGGCAGTGTTAATACTTAAGAAATCCCTTCTTTCCCTATTCTGATGTTTCTTCTTCTGCTGCCTGTTCCTTCCATGTTTGTCATTGTTCTGTTGTAAATAGATGCCCTGATGTTATAAGAATTCACTCACCTCATGTGGATTTTGTGGAACAATAATGGTGTACCCTATAAGAAGGTCTTTCTTCTTTCTCTTTTATGCATGTCACCCTTACTTAACGTTTTAAGTCGCATTGTGATAAAATACAATGACAGGGGTGTCTTAAGAGAAAAATGGTTATTTTGGCTTACAGGTGTGTGCTGTAGTTCATCATGGTGAAGAAGTCCTGTGACAGGATCTTGTGGCCACTGGTCCTTTTTCAAAGTCAAGAAATAAAGAGATTAATTCTTCTGCTCAACCAGACTTCTCTTTATGCATTCCAGGACCAAATCCTAGAGAATAGTGCCACGTAATTTTAAGGTGGATCTTTCTACCTTAATTCACCTAATCTAGATAATACCTCAAAGGCTTGCCCAGTGATTTGTCTTCTGGGTAATTCTAGGCCCTGTCAAGCTAGGAATCAATATTAACTAGTATATTCCAGGGTGTGTTTGGGGGATAGGGTGGGGAAAAGTGTGGGACTGGCCTTTGCTAGTCTGCCTTCCTTCTTTAGAGCAAGCCCTGTAATTTACGAGTGAAGAAGCACCTGGTGCCAGCCTGAGGAAGGGTCCGCATCACCAATTCTAATACAGCCAGAGCCTCTTCTTGATGATGACTGAAAACAGAAGGGCATGCTGAGGCTTCAGGCTGTGGAACCTGTGACTCCACTGTGCCTTGATAGCCCCTGAACTTGATATCAAGGACAGAGTGAGAGTTCTGAAGAGTCCAGGGGTCCATAAGATCTGGCAGCTCAGAGGCTCTATTTGCTCACAGAGTCCTTAGAGATGTGCTGTGGAAAGAAAGTTCGTGATAGCAGTTTTCTAAAACAGGGTTAGTCCTGTGGATATGTAAACAACTAGAAATTATTGGGGACATTTGGATCAATGACATATTTCATCTTAAAAAGAAAAGAAACAGAAAAGAGCACAACTTGATACCTTTTGCCTGGGTTATATAATGGTGAAATCTGTAAGAGAGTAAAATTGAAGCAAATAAACAGGAGCAAAGAGGCAGGGAGCAGCAACCCAGGGCCATCTCAGGGCCTGTCGTGTTCATTAGAGGGTCACTACAGAGAAGGACACGGGAAGCTTCCCTTGCGATAGTTACTTTCCTACCTCCACCCACCATCCAGTGACCTTGCCTGTCTCTACTTGTCTCTCTCCTTCTGTTCTCCCCAGAAGCTCCTCTCCTCCCCCTCTATGTTTTCTACTGGCCATGGGAAAGACCTAGCTAGTAACCTGGTCTTCAATTTCTGAGACATTGAACTTAAGTGCCTTTCATGATATCTTCAAGAGACACCAACTCAGTAGTGTAGCTAGGAAGTCTGTTGTTACACCTCATTTATAAATATGCCCACTTTCCCCCTTTCGGTTGGTCCTGAGAATTCAATGCTTTGTGAGTACTAGGAAGGTGCTGTAGCACTCAGCTACAACTGCAGTCTTGTGTACATTGTGTGGTAGGTATTATAAGTAATAATGACACATATTTATATGTGGAGAACTTTCAACTTCTTTCAGGGAAAACAGCAAACGTTTCCATGTATTTTAGAGGAAGCATAACAAAGTTTAGGACCGCTGGTGGAACAAGAAACAAAAACATTCTTAAGGAAAGGAAATCAAATTATATTCTCTGTCTTAGGTTTCCATTGTTGTGATAAAATACCAAGATCAAAAGGGAGTGGAACGGTTTGTTTCAGCTTATAGTTCTCAGGCCACACTTCATTACTGAGGGAGGTCAGGCAGGAACCTGGAGGAAGGAACTCAAGCAGAGGCTTTGAAAGAACACTGCTCACTGGCTTGCTCTCTGTTCATCCTTCTTTTCAGCATGTAGGCGCTCCTACCCCAGGCTAACACCACCCTTAGTGAGCTGGGTCTACCCACATCAATCATTAATTAAGGAAATGTGTAGTATCCTGAGTCCAGGAGATGACAAAGCTGGATCCTGCCTGGCTTATTTGTCCAGTCCATGTTTAGAGGAAAGTGTGTGGATTAAGAAATGTCAGGCAGAAAAAGTAAAGATACTGAGAAAAAGAGAGAGATGCAGAGTAGAGTTGGGAGGGCATCCAATGACTACTGAACTGCCCATGTTTATTGTGCACAGTCTTTTTATACCACCATCAAAAGAGGGGAGAAATCAAAAGATTTCCTTACCAAGACAAAGAGCAAGCAAGCAAGCATAATTACCTTCTCAATACTGAAAACACCGAGTAACTATCTCCTGAGTTAAGTAGTCTGTTCAGGTGGGACACTCAGGGACCACATCCTATACCAAGATTCCTGTTGCATTCACATCTTAGGCCAGACATCCTGATGTCAAGGTGAGACACACAATTGCAACATCTTAGGCCAAACTTGCTGCAGTTTGACTTTGCAAGAGAAATGGCAGGTAAAAGCTCTCTGACTTTGAGTCAAAATGAAATGAACTCAATTCCCACAAAAATGTTCTGCAGACTTGCCTATAGGCCAGTCTCATGGAAGCATTTTCTTAACTGAGAGACCCTTTCCCCAAATGACTCTAGTTTCTATCAAGTTGACATAAAACTAACCAACAGAATCAATCTGTTGTCAACTTGACACACAAATACATGACTATTTTTTTTTGTTTTTGTTTTTTTTTGAGTCAGGGTTTCTCTGTATTATTTTGGAAGCTATCCCCGGCACTCACTCTGTAGGCTAGGCTGGCCTCAAACTCACAGAGATGTGCCTGCCTCTGCCTCCCAAGTGCTGGGATTAAAGGTGTGCGCCACCAATGCCCAGACAAATATATAAATATTAAAACATAAACTTTTCTTTCTTTTTTGTCCCAAGATGGCATGTTAATATTAGTATCACAATATAAAACATTCTAACTTTTAAGAATTCCAGTTCTTAAAAATTAAAATACTGGCCGGGCGGTGGTGGCGCATGCCTTTTATCCCAGCACTGGTGAGGCAGAGGCAGGCAGATCTCTGTGAGTTCGAGGCCGGGCTGGACCGATAGCCTCCAAAACAATACAGAGAAACCCTGTCTCGTAAAAACCAAAAAAAAAAAAAATCAAATACTAAAAGTTCCTTTTCTCTAAAATATCAGAGGTTCTTTTTAAATTCTAATCTCTTAACAATAGGCTCTTGTAAAATCAAAAGACAAGGTTGAATCTTTTCTTTCCCCAAGAGACAGGAACCAGGGCATATTCACAAACAAATCAAAGCAAAGCCAAAGTCCATCAGTGTGAAGCTCAGTGTCAGACTTCTGGGACTCATTCACAATCTTCTGGGCTCCATGGGGCTTGAACAACCATCCACAACACACACAGCTTGTCTCCTAGGCACAGGCCAGCTCTACTTTACAATTGATGCTCTCCTTGGTGGTCATCCAATGGTATTGTCATCTCCAAAATGCTAGGAACTCTACAGTAACAGTGCTGTACCTCTGCCAATGACCTCTCCTGGGCTCTCTTCAGAAACTCCTTATTCTGTGACATGGTGCCAAGCCTCAGCAGCTCTCCATCCTCTCATTCGATCCTGGGGTTTCTATTGAAGTTGAGGCTGAACTTTCACCAGTGGCTTCTCTTGGCCTTTTACAGTGCCAAGCTTCAGCTGTGTTCCTTGAACCCTTCATGTCTTCCAAACAGTACACATTACCAAGTTTGGCTACCAGCAAAAGGTATACGCTCGGTCCCTCTGGACCAATCTTCTGTGTGCTGACCCTGAGTAAACACCTCCTAGAAGACTGCATCTCAGTGATGCTGGTCTCAATCACAATTCCTCCGCCGCCGAGGTGACCAGGATCAATTGTCCCAGCAAGCAAAGGTTTCACTTCAGAGGATCTGAGCTCTTGATAATCACAAGTGATTCTTCAACCCCAGATGACCAGAACCACAGATTCTTAATTCATTGTATCGAATGGCCCTGGTAGATTCTTTAAGGGACTTTCAAACTTCCTTCTGAATCTTCACATCCCAATCCTTCATCGTCTGCGTTGCTCTCAGCATTCTCCCAGTCTCTACAAATAAGCCCACTGATCTCTGAACACTCAACAGCTTTTCCAGCCCAGTGATCAAATGTTAGCACTTTCTGCTCCCACACACATGATCAGATCTGTCACAGAGATAGATGCCCCACTCCTCATTCCAATTTCTGTCTTAGCCGGCTTCCTGTTGCTGTGATGAACACCATGACCTAAGCAACTTGATGGGGGAAGAGTCAGTTCATCGTACGTCTCTCAGGTCACAATCCATCACTGAGGGAAGTCTGAGGAGGAGCTCGAGGCACAAACTGACGCAGAGGCCACGGAGGAACACTGGTTACTGGCTTCTCCGTGGCTTACCTGACCTGCTTTCGCTTACCATCCAGGGCCACCTGCCCATATCAGTCCTTAATCAGAAAACAGGCAGATTTTATGGGGGGGCATTTTCTCAATTGGAATTCCTGTTCCCAGATGACTGCAGCTTCTGTCAAGGTGACATAAAACTAACCAGCACATTCTCCATTAAGAGAAACATTTTCATGAGATTCGCAGGCAAATGGATGACACTAGAAGAAACCATCCTGAGTGAGGTAACCCAGTCACAAAAAGAGAAACATGGCATGTACTCTCTCATATATGGATTTTAGACATAGATCTGGGGAGTGCCAGCCTACAATTCCATGGACAGAGAGTCTGGGAAACAGAAACTTCACTTAGTGGCTGATCGAAGAAGAGGCAGACTCCCTTGGTTAAGTACTGAGCTGAACTCAAGAAAGCCAGTAACAGAGAGGGAGGACTGATGATCAAAGGGATTAAGACTGGGCTGGTTTAACCCCCCCAGAAACAGCTGACCAGACAAAGGTTAACTCTTGAATCCCAGGCATCAGCCTGGGAATCCAGCATGGGACTGATCAAGACCCCCTGAATCTGGGTGTCAGTGAAGAGGCCTAGGGAATCTATTGAGCCTTGGGCAGCAGATCAGTACCCATCCCAAGTATACACACGGACTTTGGACTCCCATAGAACAATGTGAGGTGCACTCTCACCCTGAACTCTTGGGGAAGGGTCTAGGCCCTGCCCTATATGAAATGACAGACTATGCACACCCCCATGGAGGGCCTCACCCTCCCTGGGGAAATGAAGGGATAACGGGGGGGGTTGGGGGGAGGGCACGGGAGGAAGGGAGGGAATGGGAGAGGGACCTGGAACTGACTTGTGAAGCAACCTTGTTTCTTATCTAAATTTAAACTGGTAAATAAAATTTTAAAAAAAGCAGCTACAAATGATAAAAAAAAAAAGAATAAGGCATATACCTAAGACAGGGACACACTTTTCCCCATGTAAAAGCAGCAAGGAACTTCGTTGTGTCTTGGGTCTGCAGCCTTTTAAAAAGATTTTAACTTAAAAATTAGTGTTTAATACTCTTTCAGAAAATTCCCTAGAAACAAGAGAGCTTATATCCAGCATAAATACATACATTGCTTTTTGGGTTCTGGCAAAATTTCGGAATTTGTCGAATGCTCTGACATTTCTCCGTTTTGCTATGTTGTTGAGTGTGTTTGTGAGCACATGCATTTTTTTGGCTGCAGTCATCATGTGCCCACATTTATTCTTCCTCTTTAAAGTACCTGTGTCTGTGCTGCTTGGAGCCCATCTCAGTGGCTGTTCCTGTCTCCCAGTACATCACACCCCTCCCTTGTCTTACACATGATGCTGTTTTCTGCTCCCTGCTTGTGTTTCTCACTCTGCCCCTTACCTGTCCCTTCTCTGCCTGAGCATTTTCCTTGTGTTCTCCCAGGGTCTCTTAGTTTGTTTAACGGTAGACTAAAGACCTGCTGGCTAAACTTCACTCTTGTTCTTCCCCCTACTATTTGTAGTAGAATTGTCTGCTTTCAGTCTAATAGTCAAGGGTTGTCAAGGTAGCTTGAACACACGGAAAGAACAGATGACAGGAAAAGCATAATGAGACCAAAATCTGCAAACTTGCATGCCATTCTAAAACGTTCTGATGTGCCCAACGTCTCTTTCATTGGGAAGAAAATGTACATGTTAGAAGGGCTTTCCCAGGAGGTAGACAATAAGATTGTTGGGATTGGTTGATAAAAATATGGATATTAGGAAGACAGTATGTCAGCAGAAGTGGCAGGCCAGGGGGACAGGGAGATGGTTCCGCAGGTAAAGAGCTTTGCCACACAAGCATGAGAATTTGAATTCAAACCCTAGTGCCCCTGTGGAAAGCCAGTGCAGTGGCATGTGCCCTAACTCCAAGTGCTGGAGAAGCAGAGACAGAGGGTCCCTGTGTGTTTCTGGCCAGCCAAATACGTGAGCATCAGATTCAATGAGAGACTTTGTCTTGAAAGATAGAGAGGAAGATATCCCACATTGACTTCTGGCATAAACACACACACTGGAACAAATCCATAAAAGAATCAAATCTGTTTTAGAGCCATATTTAAAATAACTTTACAATGTATTACAGAAATAATAACTTCAAATTATAATGAGATTTCCCTTAAGTCTTCTCTTTCACACTCTCCTTTTAACATTTATTCTTTTCTTTTTCTTCTATACCTTAAGTTGGTATTTCTCAAAATAGTACTCTTAACTACATATGTCAAAGTCACCTAGAAATTTGTGGAAAAATACATAATTCCTGACCTTACCCAGTCCAATTGAATGAAACTTCTTAAGGGCATTAAACATCTAACATTTTAAAAATTGGCTGATTCTTCAGTAAATTAAAGATGGATGGCGGAAGCTTGCAGCTTAAAATTTCCTGTTGAGTTCTCTACCTGCACATCATTTCCTTTCTGTTGGTCTCATTTGCTCCTTCTGGGTAGGGGATGCCAGGCTTTGCTTACAGTCTGATTGCTTTCCCTACCCCATTTCCACAGTCTGGAATACTTTCGTCAGAATGTCTGTCTATTACCATATGAGAGTGTTCGTCCTTTCTAAAGTAAGACCCGGACTCCCCAAAGGCTCTGTGATGAGCTACAGGAGATGCATCTTCAGGCAGGGAAGATGGCAGAGTGGTCCTAATGACCTTCCCTCTCTTTCCCTTTCCCTTTTGTGGTTTTCTTTTTTTTTTTTTTCTCAGAATAGCTGTTGCCCCACCCCTGCCATTTAAAACTCAAAAACAGCATCCCATAAAGGTTAAAAGCATGCATTTAAATATTTGCCCTGCCACTGGCTAGCAGTAGATTGTGAAAGCAAGTTACTTGATCTCTCCAAGCCTGTTCTGCCTCTATAAAATAGGAATTAAGCAATAATTAGGATTTGTATCATGCAAATGATGGATGGCAGATTTAAGGCCTGGAATCAGAAAGTGGTCAACTGCCATTAGCTGTTATTTGTAATATAAGCAAGCAAAGATTGTTATTTGTTTCTCTTAGTATGCTAAGATACATTTTAATTTTCAAAAACAAGTTTTATAAATATAGAAATAAAATAATAAGCCTAAAACAGCCAGTCTTTTAAGGTGCAGGTTTTAGATCATAAAGAATCTTACTTCCGTGTACTAAAACCAAGAGAGCTGTTAAGTGGCCTATGCTAACAGATCATTGTCTGTCTCTTTCTTTTCTTCCTTCTTCCCCGAGAATGTTGAGGTTATGAAAATGGGCTTCAGGGCCTCGCATGAAAATGCAATATTCACGTTGCTTCCCATGAATCCTTGTCATCATCATAGAATTCAGGCCATTGAGGTCTTCTCTCAGAGTTCATAAACCAAGTTAGAAAAACCATTAAATAATTCAGTGTCCTCAACTGATATCAATACTTGGACTCTGTCTAAATGTGAACTCATGTATCTTCCCTGTTCCCTTTCTGCCTGAGATAGCCCTGCCTGCCATCATTCTTATACTCGGTCACCTTGGAATTTCCAGGGCACCCTTACCCCATCTCTTAACACGTTCCCTCCTGTTCTTTACTCATAATTTCTGTTGCTGCCCCACAGGTTTGAGTCCTCATTGCCTAATTTGCCATCACAGATCCATAACTCATTGCCACACAGTTATAGAATAGCTAAACAGCTTTCTGAACATGTACTTCAAATGATGGCAGTATCACACTGCATTTCAAATCTTTGCTTAGTCCAAAACCTAGTATTTCATAGTTTTTATTCTCAATCTCTTTGGTTAAATCCTACCTCTTTCTCTTAGGTGGCATCCGATTCCTATACTCCCTTGTCATGGTACTGCTGGATAAACTGTTAATCTCTTATGCCGGGGGAGGGATACTTTTGCCATTAAATTTTTGCCTATCAAATATTTTTGTTTAGAACAACTTAAATGTCAGACTTTCCTGGTCATCTAAACTACCCATGACTTCTCTTCTGAGCCCTCTTTGCAGTTGTGCTGTTTGCCATGATGTCTTGTCTTAGGAATGAGGAAAATGTCTTTTAAAGCCCTGCAGTCATTAGTAGGAAACTGTTTGCATACACACACATCTGTTCCACAAGTATATGTTGGATTAGCTATTGAATTATTATATTTATGCTATGCTTTACAATTATAACTTGTAAGAGATATGAATTAATAACACTATTATTGGATTCCTTTCCAATACGTTCTGAGTTAGAAATGCTTATTTGAAATAGAGCTTCTATTTATAATTAAGTGATTTTTGTTCCTACTTTTCCATTAGACATGTGTTTAAGTAGTTAGAAAGGTCTGTCTTAATGTTGTTGTGAGTAAAATGACTGATTTTCTGTTGTATATGCAGAAATATGATCAGCTGCAAGACTATCTCAATTCTGCAGATTATTTTCAAGATGAGAAGTTTGAATTATAGCACGTTTCCTTCAGAGAAGATTGTATAAGTTTCTGTAAATGTGAAGATCATGAGCTTTGTTTCTCTGTATCATGTAACATTTGTTGTATATTCTGTGTGCATCTTTATTGCAAAATATCTTGCTTATATGCTCATCAGATGTTCATGAAATGCCACAGTGAAGTGTAATAAAGCCTGCATAGATGTACATGGAGAACATCAGATTTGTGATTGAAAACTCCATCAATGTATTTTAGTCATAAATGACCTGCAACAGAACGTTCTGTCATATCCTCCTGTCGGTTTAGTAGAAATAGGCTGTATTAAAAATAAATCTGGACTAACCTGCAGATGGTTCAGTCAGTATAGTACTTGCCTTACAAGCACAAGGACCTGAGTTCAATCCTCAGAACCATATTTAAAATAGAATCCAGATTGATGGCAGGTACTTGTAATCCCTGCACTGGGGAGGTAAAGACCAGGCAGATCCCTGAGGCTTGTTGGTCAGGCAGCCAACCCACTCTCATGCCAATGAGAGACCCTGTCTCAAAAAGCAGCATGGGGGGTGCTTGTAAATGACACCCAAGACTATCCTCTGAGCTGAACATGCATGCAAACATGTATGTGCATGTGCCCACATGTGTGCAACCACACACAGGCACCTTCACATCTACACTCTATATGCATGTGTATATTCATACATAGTGTGACTCATGCCTCCCTATGTACGAATCGCTGTATTGTTGCATTCCTTAGCAGTATAAAATAATATTAAACACTCAGTATTAATGTCTAATCAATGTCTCCTCGATCAGTGTGCCATGGAAGAAGCCTCAGATTGCCGCGCATTTATGATGGTGACCTCTGAATGAGACCATAGCTTGTCGGCTGCTAAAGTCGCCCTTCTGAACAGAGTCTAATCTTTCAATCCTCACATTCAGGAAGAACTTGTTGATACATCTTTTCCTTCGGTGCAATGTTCTTTCTTGTTTCTGTGCAGCTTTATCTGTAATATATCAAGGATTGAGGTGTATTTTGTGATTTTTTTTAACCATAACATTCTCTATGTAAATATATACGTATATGTGCCAGTCTGAAGATCTCAGAGACAGGTTCAGCCCAAAAACAATTCAAAAACTTATTTTTGTGCCTACATTACTTTGCACATCCTAATTTTTCCATAATACAATAAAGTGGGTTCAAAGTAAGCTGTGTATTCAGTTTCTTAAATTCTTAAAGGGAACACCTGTTCTTCTGTGGCATTTTATTTGCTTTTTTTTTTACTGGAATTATTGGTTGAAGCTAGCTAGTTTCATCTATTGTGTGATTCATGACATATGCCTCCATGTATATATTACATAAAACTACATTTTATCAAGAATTACATGGAAATGAGTTTGTATTTTCTGCACTATATTTCTAAAATTATTCCTATTGGTCTTTTAAGTCAGTAAGTTAAAAAATGAAAAGAAAAATTATAGGACATGCAAGGATGCTGAGGCTGATGTTGACAAGTGTGTAACAGTTTTCAGGATGAAGCAGACATCCCCATCACACGCCTACCGCTGTTTGTGTTTCTTGGGTGCATGGACAGCTACCGTTTAACCCACTTCCAGAGAGCAAAACGGAGCCATGTTCAAAAAACAAGATAAAAGAGAGAGTCTGCAGGGAAGCAGAGCGGGGTCCAAGGAGAACTGATGGAGCATGAGAAGGCGTGAAGACGGGTGACTCGTGGAAGGAAGGGAGAGAAAACAGAAGAAGATAACCCGAGAACATTGCTTCTTCATGTGACAAGCTTTAGTCTCCTGTAAAAGGAGACAGCTTAACAGTTTAAAGTTATTGTTTTCATAGCATTCAGTTCATCATAAGGGACAAGGACTAATAATCCTGCTGACTTGTGACAGTAGGCCATGTAGTTCCTAAGTTAGTCACACTGCTGATTGCTGATTTGAAGTTCTTTCCCAAATACAGCAATATATTACTGATCAAAATGCTTGCAGGTGGCGTTTCTGAAGTCCGAGGCCGTTGCAACCAAATGTACTCTCCAAGAAGTGAGTGGAGCCTCCAAGAATCTATTGGGTATTTGCTAACAGCAAAAGAATTGATAAAACAATAGGTCACTAATGAGACTTAGCATGAATTGACAGCCCAAAATCAAGCAGACTGTGAGAGTTGTGTGAAAAATAATAGAATTAACCTTTTCTTGTATTATGACATCGTGTTTTATTACAATTATCAGTATTGATGCAATAACATGACAATGAGCTTTGAGCTTTTAAGCTTCAGGTCCTCTCACATGACTGAACCTTTTGATTGAGAGCATGTTTTACCATAGTGTTAGTTGCTTTGGTGTTTGGTAGCTTTGAATAGTAGAGATGATGAGAAAAAGTTAGGTGAAGGAGAATTAATGCTTGAAAGAACTCAGAGGGCTAGACAGAGCCTGTAGGTGTATGAGGAAACACACTGAAAGAATGAGGGCGCTGGAAGAAAGAATTGTTTCCTAAGCAACTGGTTGTACTTAACTGAATTTCCTGATTGTCTGTTCTTATATTCAGGTATTTGTACCCAACACTCATTCGTTGGGTAGTATAGGACCTCCTTGAACTCCAGAGTGGTATGGGGGTTAGGGCGTCCCTTGAGCTACTCCAGCTTGTAATGCCACTCAAGCTCTATATTAAGACAGCAAATGCTGTGGTTGAGAGAACCTGGTCTGAAGAGTCCTGGCCTAATCTCCCAAATTATTGATGAGGAACAAGTCATCTTGATGAGTCTTCATCTTCTTCCAAGTGAGAAACTGGATAAAGCTAATAATATGCATCTCCATAAATGATTGTGCTTTGAGATAATCTATGTGAAGTGTGGGCTTAGTACTACTCAGTGGAAAAAAAAACAATGGAATCTTGAAATTTGCAGGCAAATAGATGGAACTAGAAGAAACCATCTTGATTGAGGTAACCCATTCACAAAAAGACAAACAAGGTATGTACTCACTCATATATGGATTTTAGACATAGAGCAAAGGATTACCAGCCTACAATTCACACCACCAGAGAAGCCAGGAAATAAGGAGGAGCCTAAGAGAAACATACATGGTTCCCCCAGAGAAGGGGAAAGGAACAAGATCTCCTGAGCAAATTGGGAGCATGGGGCAAGGGGAGAGGGAGTTAGGAGAAAGAGAAGGGGAGGAGGGGGGAGGACATGAGGGAGCAGGAAGATTGACTTGGTGGGGAGAATAGAGAGCAAGAAAGCCATTATAGGTTTAAAGAGAAATCTGACACTAGAGAAATGTCCAGAGATCTACAAGGATGACCCCAACTAACAATCTAAGCAATAGTGGAGAGGCTACCTTAAATGCCCTTCCCCAATAATCAGATTGATGATTACTTTATATGCCATTCTAGAGCCTTCATCCAGTAGCTGATGGAAGCAGAAGCAGACACCCACAGCTAAACACTGAGCTGAACTCTGGAATCCAGTTGCAGAGAGGGAGGAGTGATGAGCAAAGGGATCAAGACCATGCTTGGGAAACCCACAGAAACAGCTGACCTGAGCAAGTGGGAGCTCATGGATCCCAGACTGATAGCTGGAAAGCCAGCATAGGACTGAACCAGACCCCCTGAACGTGGATGTCCTTGGGAGGCCTTGGCAGTTCATGGGGCCTCTGGTAATGGATCAGCATTTATCCCTAGTATACAAATGGACTTTGGGAGCCCACTCCACATAGAGGGAAGGTCTCTCAGCCTAGACACATAGAGGAGGGCCTAGGCCCTGCTCCAAATGATATGACAGACTTTGAAGATCCCCAATGGGAGGCCTCACCCTCCCTGGGGAGCAGAAAGGGGGTGGGATAGGGGATTGGTGGGATTAGGGGAGGAGGAGAGGGAGAGGGAGCTGGGATTGACCTATAAAACAAACTTGTTTCTAATTTAAATGTAAAAAGTGTGTTTTTTTAAATAAGGAAAAAGTGATATGCATAAGTAGAAGGATGTCAGTGACAAATGACAACCAGAACTTAAATGGCTGGGATATATATAGGTAAATATGCATAAAGGGAGACTAGAGAGATGGCTCAGAAGTTCAGAGCACTGGTTTCTCTTGCAGAGGACCTAGTTTCAGTTCCCTGCACCCAAGTGATAGCTCACGTTCATCTGTAATTCCAGTTCCATGGGATCCAAAGCCCTTTTCTGGACTAAGCCAATGCAGCAATCCACACATGTCATACCCATATATACATGCAGGTAGAACATACATAAAAAATGTGAATGCATACAAAAGACACTTTAGACTCCAGAGTCCAGAGGAGTGTCTTACACAGTGGAATGTAGTATGGAAACCTGTATGTTGAAGTCTTTCTTCCCAGGCTTTTAATTTATGCTCCTGTCAAAATTACAAAGGGGTGGTGGTTGCAGAGATGGCCCAGCAGCTAAAGGAACCTGCAATGTGAGTTTATTACCCGAGTCCAATCACTGGAGCCCAGGCTGAAGGATAGTTCTGCATTCCACAGAGCTGTCCTCAGACCACATGTACAACTGCACTCAGATATCATAAAAGAGAAAGAAATCCAGAAGCCAGGGTTTATTAATAGTGTATACAGGTATTGGAACAGCACACAAAACCCTAAAACTATGGACAATTTTATGTCAATTAAATTTTATCTCAATTTGGCAAATTTGTCATTCTTATTTATAATCTATATTACTAGCAGTAGCCTATTTAGCCAAAGGTATCACAGGTTAAGAACTATATTATCATAGTCTATTGAATGTGTGGTGTTTTTTAGTTTAAATATTGCCTAGTTTTATTGGCTATGACTGTTAAGTATGGAATTTTATAAGTAGAAGCTAGTAGAAGGTGTTGTCTACTGAACCCTCTTTCTAAAACTTAATATGCAATGTTCAGAAGCCTTCCATTTTTATGATAGGATGCCCCTCCTGAGGCAGGAGTCTCCTTTCTATTTTTCTTCTCTAATGAATAGTTTCTCTTTTTCCCTCATGAATGGGGAGGGAGTTGGCTTTGAAGAAGACAGGGAGAAGTATTATATTCCCAAGAAAAGCCCAGAGGTTTCACAGACTTAGAGTAGTTGACTCAAAACCAATCTGGGATACTACAGAAGGGAATTATTTAAACAGAGCTAATATGGTGGATTGGAGGAACTTCTGGGATTAGAGATACATTCAACTTGTGTAAGTAAATCTCCCCAAATCAAAAAAACAAACAAACAAAAAACCCTGAAATCTGAAACACTTTGGTTTCCAGACATTTTGGATAATACCCTGCCCTGCCAGATTGCGTCTGTGTACATGTCCAACTTAACATCTTGGGACCTGTGAAAATAAATTGGGCTGCAGTAGGCCAGCCTGGGGGCATGGGACTTCGGGTAAATTTGGTCTTGAGATACATTAATTTGGTTCACTTCTGCCCATAGCTCATGTTTGAAGCAGCACCATACTTCTAAAATTCTAGACTGTTAGGTGACTGAAGTTTTGTGTCCTGAGACCTCAGCTCCAAATGATTTGTAAATTACAGCGCTTGTGTTTTTTGTTGGTTCTGACTGTCAATACTGTGCCCATCTTCTTGGATGTTTTACAAACCACACCATCAGAAGAAAAGGAATCAGTATCTTTTTGTTGTTGTTGCTATGAGTGTTCTTGAAATCGTGCAGCACATTGTATATGCCAACCAGGCAGCTATGGCAACTCACCTTCTTGTATTTGGTGAATTTTCAAAGGATAATCTCTCTCTCTCTCTCTCTCTCTCTCTCTCTCTCTCTCTCTCTCTCTCTCTCTCTCTCTCTCTCTCTCTCTCTCTCTCTCTGTGTCTCTCTCTCCTTCCTTTCTGGAGACACTGGCAGTATCAGTGTCACACAACGTTTTTTTTAAATCCCTGCTGATTTGCTCATCACCCCCCAGCCTGTTGCCCAAACTCACCGGCCCACCCCACTGCTGTCCCTTTCGGGGATAGAGTGGACTTCCTTCTCCCCATCTCCAGCACTCACTCACCAACTTCCTCACTGTGTAAATGAGCTTTTCCTCCGTGCTCACCCAGCTCTTGTTGGGGTGCCCAGTGGTGTCGTTTGCAGCTTATTGAAAACGGAAAATCATATCCTCAGGGGGGCGGGCTGCGGGCCTGGGAAGGGGGAAAATATACACTCCATGGCTGGGAATTTTTCTTCAGCGTTGAGAGCTTCTCAAACACTTGAGAGAGGACCAGGGATTTTCCCCCGTCTTCCCCCGATCCGAAGCACCCAGGCTGAGGCTGAGCCCAGAGTCGCCCGCCCGCCCGGAGAGAGGTGCAGGTCTGGAGGGTTCGCCTCTTCAGCCACTGGGAGGCCTCTGCACTCCGTTCCCCGGCGCCTGGCTGCGATTACTCACTGGAGCAGCGGCACCAGCCTTCCACCAGGGAGCCCAGCTCCCGCCCTCCTCCCCCATCTGCAGCCTGCAGGCTCTCTCTCTCTCTCCCTCTCTCTCTTACTCTCTCTCTCTTTCTCTCCCTCTCCTATCGCAGCACAATGAAAGCCTGTGTTTCGCCGTGAGTCCGAGGAGCGGGAGCCGGTGTCAGGAAAGCGCTCGGAACAGACCTGAAAGAGAAAGGAAAATACAAGCTACTTTTTTTTCCTTCTTTCCCCCCCATCTGTAAAGCGAAGCGATACAAGAGATAGAGCCACATTGCCTATGGGAGTCCAGACCCCGTGAGCCCTGGCCGGGGATGGAATGTACAAAAGTGGACAGAAAAGTGGCTGGACATGACTCGGTGCAATGTTCTGGAAGTTTGTAAGTTTGACCATCGTTTGTACATTACTCTCGGAAGACTTTGTCTCTCTTGATACTGTGTTAGAATAAGAACTGGGGGCGAGGGATAAAAAACGTAAGTGGGAAGGAGGAGAACGCGTTGAAGGAGCTTTCTCAGCAGCCAGCCACTTCAGAGAGCTCTCATTTAAAACTAGGAAACCTAAGAGGGAATCAGGGGTTTTTGCCGGTGATTGGATTAGCTTGAAGAAAAGAGCATGCTCCTGAAGTCCAGTTACAGACGCTGTTAAGACTGAAAAGCTGTCTCCTTTGGGGAGAAGACTACATGCTAACATACCCCCCACCCCCCACCCCGGGAGAAAATCGCCAACACCGGAGGGAGAGAAAGGGACAGAGGAAACCAAAACAGTCTCCCTTGATTTCGCACAGTCTGAACATGACTTCAGAAGCCTCGGGAAGCAGCCCTGTTGTTTGTTTTTTAACCTGAGTAAAAGTGAAGGGTGCCAGTTGCATAGACCAGAATAGAAATGTGTTGCTCTGCAGAAACACCCCCATAAATAATTTCCCGAGGCAACTAGGTGAAGGGGAGTCCGGTTCTCTATTAATGACCCTTTCGATTCCTTTTGCTATACGTTTCTGTCTCTTCCTTGATGATCCCTGAATTCTTGAACTATCCCCCAGACTTTGTGTTTACAAAGTACCTGGAGGCTCTTGTCAGCCTGGTTGGGGAAAAGAGATCTACAACTCTCTCCTAACTTCTCCTGAGCTGTCAAATGCAATTAGAGTAAGTTGATCAGGGTTTGTTTCCAACTTCCCCTCTCCAATTGGTTTCTAATCTTTCTCCCCACCCTCCTGCTACTCGCGCCCCTCCCCCACGCCTTCTCCGCTGTCTCCCCACCCTCTGAAGACCTCTATTCATGTGGCCCTGAACACTGAAACCAGCTTTGCCAGCAATACTCAGCGCCAGCCTCCTGCACCTCACCACCCCCGAGGCAGTAATCATTGTGTCCAACAAGATGGGGGACACAGCGCCCCCGCAGGCCCCGGCAGGAGGTTTAGGGGGGGCTCCTGGGGCGGGGCTCCTTGGAGGGGGCTCAGTCACCCCTAGAGTGCACAGTGCTATCGTGGAACGCCTGCGGGCTCGCATTGCTGTCTGCAGACAACATCACCTGAACTGTGAAGGACGCTATGAACGTGGTAGAGCTGAGAGCTCAGACCGAGAAAGGGAAAGCACTATGCAGCTTCTCAGCCTGGTCCAGCATGGCCAGGGGGCAAGGAAGGCTAGCAAACACGCTAAGGCTGCAGCCACGACTGCCATCACCACAGTCCCTCCACCGCCCCCTGCTGCTCCTTCTGTGGCCTCCCAGGCGGCTGCCACAGCCCCGCCACCTCCACCAGACTACCACCATCACCATCAGCAACACAGACTGACCAGTAATGATAATGGTGGGATAAACCGAGAGCAGCAGCCAACAGCTTCTACCCCTGGGGACCAGCGGAACTCTGCCCTGCTTGCGGTAAGGCACCTGGTTTTCTCCTATGATTGTGGCTGTGGTCCTGTGGCCACTCGCGATGGTGGTGGTTGTCTTGGCCTCGTGTGGAATGAATGGCCATGAAGATGGCCAGGATACCAGTCTCTCAAAGGCTGCCGGGTGTGCATGTGTGGTTGCAAACTCTTACTGTTGAAGTCACTGGTGCCCATTGTCATTGTCCTACACCGAAGGGTGTTCCTTACCAGGTAGGTAATAGCCTGGATTCTCCAGAGGCTCAGAGGGTCCACAGTTTGTGAAAGAAGGACTTACAGCTGAGAAGCCCTGGAGAACCCTCCTGCTTAGCGTGTTGGCTCTGGTTAGGCCTAGCAAGACATCCTTTACTTGACAGTAACTTAGCTTGATTGGCCTGTTTACTTTTCTCCACCCTTCTTCCCCTCTGAAGTGCCCTTCACCTGGGGTTAAGAGGAGTCTGTGATTGACATTCCATAACATAGTGTCCCCGCAGTAAAAACCACGGGGAGAGTACCTCATAGACAGACTCCTGCAGGAATGCTTGGTAAGGGGGCTCCCCACCCCAGGCCCCAATCCAGACTTTTATTCTGGACCCTCTGTCTCCCAGAACTCATGGAAGGCACAGAGAGCACTTAGCTTCAGTCCCTCCTGGAGACAGCACATCAAGTCCAAAACCCTGAGTAATTTTCTGACTGGAAGTGCTTCCTCAGAGGCACAGACAACACCCCACCCAGAGGGAAGAGCATTGAGTCATTGGCTCTTGGTTGTCAGTCTTGGTCAGGTGACCGCTGCTTGTGGTAGTCTGGCTTCCCCCACACCGCTCTGCCATTTGTCGTTCAGTAGAGGTTGGAACCCAGCCCTGAGCCCCAAGGCTTCCCCACTGGGCTCCTGAAGTTCTGTGACAGCTCACGGGACAACTACAGTGATCTTAGAGCACGCCTGAGGAGAGGAAGAGACGGGAAATGGTCATGGGAGCCCCGAAAGCCCCAGAAAGCCCTCAAGAAAGATGGTACTAAGGAGCTCTTGAGGGAGGAGGGAGTCTCTTCCAGCGGGGGCTACTTCTTGATGCTCTTTCCCATGTCCTTCATCTGCAGCAATTCCCATGATTCCTGGGAAACTCTGGGGACTAAGACACTTCTCTCCCCCACCAGGCTCACACTTTCCTTGGGTTGCCCAGAGCTGTGATTCTAACACAGATGAAAACTAACCATCCATAACTAAACTGGCCTGTGCTTTATCCTTGAATGAAACTATTCGGTTTCTATTGGGGTTTCCAGGCCTATATTCCTCTCTCTCTCTCTCTCTCTCTCTCTCTCTTACCTGCTCCATGCCTACTTCTCCCTGGAATTCCCAGGGAAGGGAGGTTTGTCTCCTGAAAGAGAGATGCTGGAGAGAAGGAAGAGGGAGAAAAGAATGAAGTTTGTGTGCCTGTGCGTGTCACCAGCATCTGCAGCCAAAAGTAACTAAATGCCTTGATTGTCCCCAGTAAATTTATAATCTGTCTGCAAGCCTTCCAATAATGTGGCTTTGTGTGCTCAGAGTCTCCTTGTGAGTGCTTGTGGGGGTGATACTGACAGTGAGGCACCCAGCCCAACCCCTGAGGGGAGGACTGGTCTCTGCCCCGGGTACCAAGCCTAGCTTAACCCACCGGGTGGGCTTGGCCTCTGGCTCTCCCTCCCAGCCTCAGCAAGGAAGGCAGGATGTCCCCGTGGCCCCCTTTGGATTTTGCTTCTGTCCAGTTGGGAAGGAAGCTGATGAGGTTCTCTTTCGCCGGTGTGTTATAGGAGACGAAATGAAACCAACTTCACGGTTCTTATAACTGTAAGGGGCACTGCTTCTGCTATCAGGGAAGGCAGGCAATGGTGCCTGGCCTGCCTCTACTAAACTGTCTGCAGCTTCAAAAGCTTACGGTGTTTTCTCTGCCACCCCTTTCTTGGGGACTCTCTCCACCCACCTGCCACCTCCTAAAAAAGCCCCTTGCTGGAAGATCCTCTGAGTGTAGGGATGAAGCCTTGGGGTTCGGTTTAAGTTAGGAGACAAAGGCAGCAGCTTGGTCCACATGCTCATTCCTCTAGGAGAGTGGCTGGTCTGACACCCTTTTAGTTATTGGGAATTCCCCCCGTTTTAGCTTCTAAACTTGAAGCTTTGTTCCTTCGAATGTTACTCGGTCTGTGAGGGAAGTTCTGTACCATGCTATTATCACTGGATTGGGAGAGGGAGGCCTGGGCATTCAGGAGCCTCATTTCGGGGTCTCACTTCTCTTGGGCATCTCTTGTCTTCAAGGACAATGTTAACAATTTTAAGGACCTCTCTTTTGAGAATGCATGTCGGAATTCTTCCTCAATTTTGTTGTTTCTGTGTCCAGAGGCAGGCTTATATAGTCTGGATGTGTTGAATGTAACACTTTACTGTTAATTTTTATGCTGTAAGTGCCCATGAATGCCCTTTGGAGAAAGGGAAAGTATTGATTATCTAAAATCAAATATGCGCAGTACACCCTGGTGGAGTCCTGTAACCAGCATGTGCTGTGTGTGCAGCAGTGCCTTGGACATTGTCACTACTATTTGCCAAGTGAAGGTGAAAGGACAGCTTCTGTTTGGTGGGATAATGTTGTCCGCGAGGGGACTTCTATGCCAAAGAATATATACTGTCCGGTCTCTTTAATAGCTTGAGTTTGAAGAACAATGCAAGAATAACCTCTAAGTCAGTTCTAATTCTGTCCACTTGAGAGCCTAATTCTGCTGTCCTTACTCAGCCAGTTTCTTCATTTAGCTCCAGTTCAGGGGAAGGCCCGCGTCTGTGGAGACTGCAAACCCAGGGCCTCATGGAAGGCTGAGGTTGTAGGGCTCTGAGGAGACTGGCCGTTTTAGCCACTCAGTGGAGACTTCAGCCACTAAATCACTTTCTGCAGAAGTATGTTTGTACCTTCAAATGAGCTGTAAAAACTCAATAACCACTGGTCCATGGAGCAGTTAGGTTGGCACATCTGTGGAAATTATTTATCTTTTCCTCTTGTCTGAGACATGCTCTCTTCCTGTGCCACAGACCTTGTCGCTAGTTCAGGTAGATAAGTGGTACCAAGCCATCTCCCACTTCAGACATTATCTCTTCTCTAACGTACCATGGAGGGAAGAACACAGAAGAGACAGGAAGCTTGTCTTGTGGTTTGGTGGCTGCTCAATCACCAACCTGCTGGATGACCGGGACAAGTCACTTAGCACTCATCTGTCAAACAGAGATCAGCTATCCATGGAAGCACTTTCATTAGTGAGTGTTTGAGGAAAAGCAAAAGAAGCCAGAAGCTCAGCCAATGTTGCTGCTGAGCTCCTAGCACCAAGGATGAATACTGGCTCCTCTGGGCTTCAGAGAGATCCACTCAGCTTTCGCTTGTCTTTTTTAAGTGGTAAAGTAGCTTTTATTGTAAACAGAGGGATTGGTCTTGCAAAATCAGGGTTGTCAAGATAAAACCAAAATAGCTGTGTATTTAAGTATCTCCAGAGTCCTAGAGAACACTCCTCAAAGTGAGCCGTGCTTTGAAGCCTCGTGTGTCCTTCAAGCATGCCCTTTATACCTCTGCACGGGCCCTAGAAGCTTTGGCAAGGTGTGTTCCTAGAGTGTCTATGGGGTATTAGAAAAGGCGTTTGCACAAATGATAGGGGAAGTTATATATTTTGCCAACGGTGTTCTAAAATGCCAGTTTCTAGTTTAAGAAAGTCAAACCAGTTAAAGGATCTCTGAAGTTCCCAGGTGTTTTATAAGTTTCTAATTGACCAACTCAGAATTTCAGGGCTGTACAGGGAACGGAGAGCGAGTCTGGAAGACTGAGACTAGCTGTCTGCATGGCGGATCTCCCCTCTGGGACTGTGAGAGCAGTGTTCACATTATTTATCTATGCTGCAATCATCTCCTTAAGAACAGACCTATTTTGTTTTGCTTCTCCCGAGCAAAATAATAAGGGATAGTTCTTAGCTACCCAGGTCCTTACCACCTCATTCAAGCAAATGCAAGGCAAAGGGTTCCAGTGTAGAGTGTCTGGCACGTGGTGCTGTTTCAGACATTGTCAGAAAGCTTGCTCTGGTGACAAGGTGAGATCATACACATACAGGTGCTCTGCGCTTTCCATAGAAGTCATTTGCTTTCTCTAAAATAATTTTGTGACTAAGTACTTCTCATCAATATTTTTCTGTCTTAAACTTTAATGTCTGTGACCTCCCTATAGCTTTACTCGTGCTAAATCACTATGGTATTAACCAGGGGCTTTCAAATGTTCTTAGACACAACAATTAAAATATCACTAGTGGTGGGACAATGATCAGATGTTCTCTAAATTTCTATTGTTCACTTTGATTCTTAGCATTGTTATTTCGTTTAAAAAATCCTAGTAGTAAATTTGAAAATTAAGAAGCAGACACCCACTTTTGCTATGCATGCAGACCGAGCCTCTCTGAATGGCTTCTACTGACTCCTCCTTCTTTATGTCAGCCCCTTGCCCATGTTCAACATCTGCAGACAAGGCCATCCATGTTTAATGAAAACAACTCTAAATTCCTCCTCCTTCATTTTCATGCTAATTTCCTTCACACTCCAGCAAGCTCTGTGGGAGAATAAAGGAGACGTGATATGCTACAGACATAGCCCATGCTGTCCACAGTCCAATGGAGAAATCATCCCCTGCACAGTGAAAGAGCAGTAGAAGTTCCTAGCACTCAGGATGGCTAGGAACAGAAAGTTAAAGACCTAAAGCACTCAGGGGGCTCCCTTTGCATGTTTTACACAGCATCTACCAAATCCAGGTTGGATGGGTGATATTGTCCTGTGTTAGAAGCAAGGACGCTCATGCTAAGATGGGCAAGATGACCCACACTTGCAATGCCAGCACTCAGAGGCTAAGGTAGGAGGATCATCATGAGTTCGAAGCCAGCCTGAACTACCTAAGTTCATGTTAAGCCTGAGCTGCAGTGTGAAACTCTGTCTCAAAACCAGGCCAGACAGAAGCAGAGGCAGGTAGATCT